AGTAATTTATGTTTATTCATACAAGGCGAAGATTCATTAGTGGTTAGCCTGTTCAGAGTTGACACTGTGTTGAAGGCCCCACAAGACAAGATTAAACATATAGAAATGTTCAGTTGTTCATATTTGGAAAATTATGAGACTGAGACAGCCATTATAATCCAATATGTATTTTCAAGAAGATTTAAGTCATTATTTTAAGGCATTCCTAAAAATGTCTCCAGGAATAGCTTGGGAATGGTCCTGTAGTTCATATTAAATGACTCTCATGCTTTACCTTGACTGCGATGACAGAGTCAGTGGATGCCAAGGCCCGTCCTCAGGCCAACCAAATGGGAATGTCTGGGAGGACCTGGGCATCAGTGAGTAAAGGAAAAATTCCCTAGGCAGTCTGAAGGTTCCTTAGACAGCCACCCTCACTCACAGTATTATGCTGCTTCCTCATTTGCTTAGGGGCAGGCATCACTAATGGAACGTGGCACTTTTCCAGCCTGAGCGCATCTCTTCTCTCCATTAGCAAAGAGAAGCCCGGGTCAATCAATTCAGAGTTAAATGAAGTCTGTTTGCTCTCAGTCATCAAAGGACATAGAACAGAATTAAATGTTACTCCCATGTAAGGTGAGTGGCCTCTTGAAAAGCCACCATGTCTGCTTTGTTGCGCGATTCTAGCCAGTGATGTCAGCTTCTGTAAGGAAGATTTAGAGGTGGCACTGAGTACCACTTGTTCCTGTCTCAGGTCCCTGAGATACTGGTATACTCTACTTCTAAGAGCATTTGCATCCGTCAGCCCAGAAGGGGACTGTTCTTGGATATTTCTTGTGGGTTGGAAGGGTATGCTGGCAATTCTTCTCCCTGGTGTAAAGCCCTCAGCCAGGGAGTGAGCATGCAAGTCTTTCTTCAAGTGTCCTTGAGTGGGGACAACTCTGAGGCGTAATGCTCCCATGAGGTAACATACAAGGGACCTCCAGGGGCCTTGGAGAGGTATTTTTCTGTGGCCTCAGTCTCTTCTCGACCCTTCTCCATGGTGTTCCAGAAGCACTTACTGCATCATCTCATTTACAGTTTCATGTTAGTTTCATGTTCATCTGTTTCTGGGGAATCCCTCAGACACAAGCCAGAGACCAAGGCCACTGGGTTGAACCATTGGAATAGACACAGTCAAGCAGTGCAAGGTCTCCAACTTCACCATGCTGTGGGACAGTGCACAATGGGTTTTGAAAAAGGCTTATGGAATAAGTCTTACGAGAAAACTATATGTTTCAAAAGTTTTTTCTTTTTTTGCAATAAGATAAAATTATCTTTGGAATCCATCTATTCTCCACAAACTTCTTTTTCTTATTTGAAAAGTACAGAGAGAGTGGGATATGTAGAGAGATCTTCCCAAAGGTCCACTGTAGCCAAGGCTAGCCTAGGCCAGCACCAGGAGCCCAGAACTCCAGCCAGGTTTCCCACATGGGTGGCAGGGACCCAAGTGTTTGAGCCATCATCTGTTCATTCCCAGGATGTGCACTGGTAGAAAGTTGGGTTGGACACTAAGTAGCTGGGACTTGGACCAGTCACTCCAGGATGGGGTGAGCATGCCTGAGTGTTAATGGCCATGAGCCGTTTGGAGCACTCTCCAGTGAGAAATGTAAAGAGACTCTGCTCTGGGGAGAATGGGGATGGCAACAGTGTAGAAAAGGTGCACAGGTGGAATGTGATTCTTACTGCTTAGAAAGACAGAGCATGGGCCTGATGCAGTGGCTCAGTAGCTAAGTCCTCGCCTTGCATGTGCTGGGATTGTTCACATGCGAGCCAGTTCGTGTCCTGGCTGCTCTGCTTTCCATCCAGCTCCCTGCTTCTGGCTGGGAAAGCAGAGAGGAATGGTCCCAAATTTTTGGGACCCTGCACCCTGCTTTGGAAACCCAGAAGAGGCTCCAGGTTCCTGACCTCTGATTGGCTTTGCTCTGGCCATTTCGGCCACTTGGGGAATGAACCAGTGGACAGAAGATGTTTGTCTGTCCTCCCTGTATATCGGCCTTTCCAATAAAAATGAATACATCTTAAAAAAAAAAAAAGAATGCTTAAATACTGAGGGAAAAGGTAGAAAGCTTCTTTTTTAAAAGAAGGTTTATTATTTTTTAACGGTAAAGTCAAATATGTAGAGAGGAAGATCTGTCCATTGATTCACTCCCCAGCAGCCGCAACGGAAGCTGTGCTGATCCAAAGCCAGGAGCCTGAAATTTGCTCCAGGTCTTCCATGTGAGTGCAGTGTCCCAAGGCTTTGGGCCGTCCTCAACTGCTTTCCCAGGCCACAGGCAGGGAGCTAGAAGGGAAGTGGGGCCACTGGGGTTTGAACCAGTGCCCATATGGGATTCTGGCACGTGCAAGGGGAGGACTCTAGCCACTAGGTTACTGCACCCAGCCCGGTAAAAAGTGTCTAATGTGAAAGAACCTTGTGATACAATGATGTAACATCTCTGTGGTGAGAGAGACCTGAGTTTTAGTTTCAGTGAAGCCGTTCACTAGATTTGAGGACTGGGGACATCCCCTTGACTTTGTAAGCCTTGACATCCTTGCCTGTAAGAGGGGCTAGAAAACCTACCCATCTCAAAGAGTCTTTTGAAAGGTTAAGAGTGCTCATTTAGGAAAAAATGCTGAGCCCAAATGCCGGGCGGTGGTAGAAAGTATTGGATGGGAAATGTCCAGGGGTTTGAGGACCAGCGCAAATAAGCTTTTCAAGAGAGAAGCAGAGGGCGTGCAGGAGAGAAGCTTTTCCAGAAGGACCACAGTCTCACCGGCACCTGTTCCCCCTTTTAGTCTCTACTTCTGTCTCTGACTTGGTTATTAAGAAATAGTTATTAATAAATAATCACTATAATAAACAATATTAAATAAAATATTAATAAATAAAATAAACAATTAGTAAATAATTTGTTTATTTTTATGGCAGAAATAATTCTTAATTAGCTATGGCATCATGATAAAGTAGGGAAGAGAAAACTGAAAAAGGCAAAAACAGTGATTCTAAGCTTCTTGTCCCTAGAGAGAATTCATTTTCTCATTCTTGAGTCTGTTTTCCTTTTCAGGGGGCTCTTTTGTTGAGGTGGCTTGCCCAGGGAAGGCCTTCGCTGCCTAGCAACCAGCATCCCCCACCCTTCCCTGCACATGGGTGTAAGTTGTTCATATCAGCGCTATCAATTTTTTTTTAAAAAGAGTACTTCATTTTATGAAAAATTAAACCTTATGAAAATGTAGCTTTGTAATATGTATTGTTCTTAACAACTGTATAACCATGAGGTTGAATATAGAACTGCACATTTTGGAATGACTGCAAACATAATTGTGGGTGTCCAGAAAAATCCTATGCGTTTATATATTACCAGATCTAGTGGATACGAGAGCTGTTGGGTAATTTAACGGGCATTCACCACCCTTCTGCCCCTATAAAACAGGCATTGTTTTTCTTGTGTTTGCCCTAAAGCTAAGTATGTGTGATAGATTTGCTTGTGGTTCCTGAGTGCTAGTATTATACATTGTTCACAGAAGAAGTAGAAATCAATTGTATCTTATTGGGGATGTGTACAAAGGGATGGTATAAATTAAAGTTAATCAGAACACGATGATTCATCAGAAAATCGATAAATTTAAAGGGCACTAATTTCTCCAAATGATTTTTAGTTTGCCTTGCAATCCTTTTGGGTTTTATCTTCTCTGTTAAATGATCACTGGGACCACACAATTATTAAGTCAGTAGCACTTCATATAATTAACTCCTGATGTTAATCCTCTCATGAATTTTTGCCCTGGCTTTTTCCTAATCATTTGATTCTCATCTACATTAGAAACTGTGACCTCCCGTGGCCCTTTTAGCAAGAAATTTGCCTTTGGGATGCCCACGGGAGGAGTAGGGTGGGGAAGGTGGGGAATAGAGGGAAAATGAAAAATGACTGAAAACTCAGCTGGCACCTGGAGCAGAGGCAGTGGAATTTTCTAGATCCACTTGAATTTTCTAGACCTCCTGTAGACAGGGAAACATCAGTATCTGTGAGGTAGTCATTGTAAGAATTAAAAGCCAATGTAGTTGACATATTTTAACACTACTGGAGTTGTTAAGAACAAAAGTCAGTGACACATTAAGAGAACAACTTGGTAAAATCATTGCTTGTATTTACACATACAAACTCACACGCGCAGGTGCCCCAAGGTTTTATTTTTTTCAGTTCCCCAATTTTCCTTACCTCTCCAAAGAAACAGGCTGTGCTTACTGTTAATAAACAACAGAGGGATTCCTGAGTTCTCACGAAATACTCAGGCTGCCATTTTTCTAAGATAAAAATGAAAAGAATAAAGAATAATAAAAAAAGAAAAAGTAGAAGTGGGCATGTAGCCCAACAGGGAAGTCATCTGTGTCCCCGTGTGGAGTGCCCAGCTCAACACCAGCTTCTGGCTCCCATCGCCAGCATTGTCCTAACTGCAGATCTGCAGAGGGGCAGCAGGAAGGTCTCATGTAATTGGCTTCCTGAACTCCTGTGGGGTTTTCCTCCCCGTGGGAGACTGGGATTTTGTTCTCAGTTCTCGCTTAGACCCTTGGCCGTGGTGAGCATTTGGGAAATGGAAGCACTCTGTCTCAAATAATTAAGAACCAACGAAAACTTTAAACAGTAAGTTTCTCTAGATGTCACTCGCTCTATTTTTATTTAATTTTGACTTTGGAAAAATGCTGTGAGAAGTGTTTGGATAACCGGTCTATAAGAGATTAACAAAATTCACTAGGAATATTTAAGGGTAGGCTGGCCTGAACTCAGTTGAATGGAGTATAATTCCTTCTTCTTCGTCATCATGAGCATCATCATGCTCGGTGAACATCGCCCAGCAGCACCCGTTGTGCATGGGGAAGGGAAGGGTGCAGCCCCAGAGCACAGAAAGCTTTCAGGTACAGTTCCTAGAGCTGTTGAATCTTGCCAGGGAACAAATTGAGATCTCTGCAATGTTTTGCTTTCTCTTTACTGTCCCATAAACAGTACTTCATTTCCCCGGAGGGCTTTGGCTTCGTGATTGACAGCACTGGAACTGTTTCCACGGCCGCAGCTTTTGATTTTGAGAGTAAAGCCAGAAGGTAAACAGTTGCTACTGTACTTTTACTTGAAATGTAAGTCCTTTGCCTTGTGTTTTTCCTCTTTGAGATTATTTCTGCCTATCTGGTCTTAATGTGTTCCTAAAATGACCGTGCTTGGGACATGACCTCAAAATTAAATCTTTGGTTCACCTAGAATCGCCAGGCACGCTAATGGAGCAATCTGTATCCCTCCCCTTCCCTCAGAGTGAAGCATCATGGGACTCCAGGGGTGGTGTTTGCATCCTACTGTGCAAATGGATGGGTTTTCCGGATAGCTATGATATAAAACTCATTTGCATTGTGAACTAGCATCTTTGTATAGTTAATACACACACATTTTCTACTTCTCTCTGTCAGGAAGGGAGTCATTGGCCAAAGTTATCATTCTTATTAATTTATTTTTAAAGATTTGTTTATTTTTATTGCAAAGTCAGATGTATAGAGAGGAGAGACAGAGAGGAAGATCTTTCATCTGCTCATTCACACCCCAAGCAGCTGCAACGGATGGAACCGAGCTGATCTGAAGTAGGAGCCTGGAATTTCCTCCAGGCCTCCCACGCAGGTGCAGGGTCCCAAGGGCCTCGACCATTCTGGACTGCTTTCCCAGACCTCAAGCAGGGAGCTGGATGGGAAGTGGCGCTGCTGGAATTAGAACCGGCGCCCATATGGGATCCCAGCAGGTGTAACGTGAGGACTTTAGCTGCTAGGCTACAATGCCAGGCCCTATTTTTATTTTTATAATGACTTGTATGATCACCCTTTTCCATCTTGTGTTCTTCATCAAAGCGCTTCACAAGAAAATGGATCTTTCAGTCATTCCGATCAATGCCATTCTGAATCTTATGACTGTCTTCCCTGTTCAGAGAATTGAGGGTGATATCTTTCTTAATGGTTAGCATCTTTAGAAGTGAAGGCACAAAACAAAAAGGTTTTCCACACATCATTTTAGACCTCTCAATAAAAGACATTCAGAGTCAAAAAATGGGATCATTCTAAAAAAAAAAAAAAGCAGAAGGATATTAGTGCATGAAAGAAAATTGCATTCTCTTTATCTGATGTTGGAGTTGAAATTATCAGAACGGTTGTCTGCTTTCTCATGAACCCACACTCATATATGTGATGTCAAATCATTTTCGGAGTTCCTTGGGGCTAAAAGATTATATTCATCACGGTTTTTTTTTTTCTTTTTGACTTGCTCTTGGAAAAATAAGGTGTATTCCAGATATTTACAGATCTTAAAATTTGTTAATAAATGGAAGGTTTTAGGAGTATTTTTAAAATTATCCAATAGACTTTAGGAAATTAATTTTTTTGGACGGGTAAGCCTCTTTCTTAGTAACTCTGAAATCAGTGCTGCTAACATTGGAAAAAGAAAGTTCTGTTTGCAGAGCATGGAGTATTTCAGCCCAAGTGGGTTTTCACTAATGTTTACCCAGAATACACCTTTGCTTGGGTTGCTCAACTCCAGAGCATCCCAGGGTCAGCGAGCAAATCTGTGAATGGGAATGAAAGACCTCATTGAGTCTTATCAATTCCTCCCATCAAAGGCAGGGGTTGTGGAATTGCTTGTTCAAATACCAATGAAGAAGTGAAAAGAGTGCATCACCTCCTCACATCTTTGTAGTAGCTTCCCAGGATTCAGCTGGACCAAGTTAATCTGAGCTCTTCAGGGCTTTGGGTCTTGCCCACCCTGGGGCCCTGCCATGTCCATAGTTAATGCTTTAGGAGTATTTTTAAAATGTCTTGTCTTTATTCTGAGAGGTGGATTACCTTTGTGCTTTTGGTCAAGGGTTGCTTCCTAAAGAATCCATTGTTGGTAGGAAAAATTGTGAATTAAGGGGAAAGTTGGAATTGTTTTTCTTTTTAGGATACCTAAGAGGAAAATGTTTTTTCATGGTCTTATTCAGGACATTTAAAGTTAAAATAGAAATCACTTCCAACCCCATCCTCAGGGAGGATTCCTGGTTTGTGGAAGATTGAGGAATTTCCTTGGATGTGGCCTTTTTAGTGCTAAAAACTGGACAGTGTCAGCTGTTTGGGAGAATTGAACATGTGCAATTGTTTATTTGGATGCAAATATGCGTAAACTTTGTTTCTTCACTTCCAAGACTCCACTCTTTTGAGCCATACAGAATTGCTAAATTAAAAAATCTTTCATCACCTAACCACCCAACCATTTCCCCATAACCATCAAGTTGTTTTTGAAGTATTCTTAACATCTTTTCACTTGTATTTGTCAATTTTCAAGATAAAGAAAAAAATCATTGCATAAAAGGCGAGAACTCAAGAGTCACCCATCGTCTTTCTTTGCTACAGCGTTCTAAGCAATTCTCGTGGCTTTTGACAACTTATGGGGATTCACAGATTTTTGAGTTCTTCCCTGTCCTTTTAACTGATTTGACTAATTTGATTCTCAAAAAAGTGTTAGCTACTTCCAACTGTGAAAACAATGGGTTTGACTGACATTTTAAATATCTGAATCCATTGTTTTAAACAGCCAGTTAAGCCCCATAGATGCATTTCTGTAAATGCCTGATGGTTACTAGAAAATCTCAGCCAGTCTTTCTTGTGGCTGCACTTTCAGCTTTTCACTGGTTATTAAAGTGGTTGATCTTGGAGGACTGTTCGCTGCTGGAAATCTGAAGGTTTTCCTTGTTAATGTCAACAACAAAGACCCCATTCTGACATGCAGGTAAGGAGATGGAATCTAGTATTTCAAGTTGGCCTTGATAGTGATTTTGAAGATGCAGTTTCTCAAATTCATTATGGAATATGTTTTCTTTTTCTGTTTAGTCCTCCTCCCCCCCCTCCCCTTTTTGCTAAGATGGGAAAAAAAGCAAATAAGATGTAAACAACCATTTAAGGTAAAAAATTCACAAGAAAAGGCTTTCTGAGAGACTGAAAGCAAAATAGTTTAAAGGTCTAAAATTGAAATGGCAACAGAATAAGTTATTAATGTAATATGCTCTTATTGCCTGACATGCTGACTTTCTCTCCTTACTCTAAAGGGAGATTCGGTTAGTATTATCACCAGGGAGTTTATTGCACCGTACTGAGGGACAGCAAATTTACCAAACTGTTTTTGGCCACAGAAGGATAAGAGCACAGTGTTGAAATACACAGGCTCTGGAAAAGCTTAGCTTCAAATCCTCTCTCTTCCACCTGGATATTTAACTTTGAGAATCACTTGATTTCTTAAAGCCTCAGTTGTCACATCTGTATTATGGGAGCAGTGATTGAACCCATCTCCTACCTGCTGTGAGGAACAATGGGTACATTAAAAGTGCTTTGTATTCAATTTGTATTGTAGATAAGGGCTTAATAAGTGGGTTAGCTATTAATACATGGTCACAGTTTCCACTTTCATTATTGTTATCTCTAACCTCATGCTCCTTTGCCACTAGAAGGTGTAGGAAACCCAACTCAACAAGCCAATGCCATTCTAATAATCTCTTCTTTGAAAACTAGTTTATTCAGGACTGAAAATGCTATCTCAAGTATTACTTCTGTCAACTCAACTCTGCACCATCAAATCAACTTTACACTGGATGAAGAAATTCCAATTGGGAAAACAATTGGAAGATGCAAGGCAACTGATGACGATAAACTGGGAGACTTAACTTTTGAACTAGATCCCTGGAATGCTTACTTTAGAGTGGACAAGGGTAAGTTGAGAGTTATTCTCAGTGAAGTACAGTCCTTATTCTATGCTGTTGCCATCGTCTGCTCATATCTCCTGCACAGACAGGTCTTCATTTCCAGAAGCTACTTCTTGAATAACTTTCAGGAAGACACAGTTTTTTGTTTCTTCCTGAGCTACGGGGTCCTTGTCACAGCTGCTGTTCAGTGGCCGTGTCAATCCTCTACCTATTCTTCTGTCTTGTTGGACTTAAGCCAACTCTTCTCTCTGCTTCAAGGCCAAGTGTTTGTGAAAGTGATCCTGATTGGACTTTCTAGTGTCAGTCATTCACTCCTCAGCCTATCAGCTGTGGCTGAGGCAGGGGATGGGTCAGTTTACAGGTATCTACGCCTTCTTGTGGAGCTGAGTAGGGAAGCAATGAGGTCATGTTGAGCACCTGAGCCAGATTAGATGTGGCTGCAGAGGCTGTCAAAGCGCCAGTCCTGCCCCAGTCTTGCCTCTTGAGGCCTGACTTCCAATGGTCAACATCTGTTTCTTTGCTTGATGCATTATTTGGGATTTAATGCTGTCCCTCCCTGTCTGCTGTACATATCAGGTTAGAGAAATCCTTACCTGGCTTTCAGCTTTCAGGGAATGAAGGGAGACTCTGTGCAGACAAATGCTCCATCTCAATGTGGCTGGCGTGGAGCTGTGTTGAACGTGGGACCTACACTGGCTTCCACAGTTCCCCAGAGATCTGTGCTTAGCTTGTGCATAGTTCTAACTTACTGAATGATGTAATTTTAAAATGCTTATTTGAAAGCAGGGAGGAGGGAGCTTGGGGGCGGGGGTGGAAGTGGGGAAGGGAGAAGAGAGAGAGAGAGAGAGACCCTATCTGTTGGTCACTCATTACATATGTACAGTGACCATGGCCAGGTAAGGCTGAAGCTGGGAGCTGCGTACTCAGTCTAGGTTTCCATATGGATAGCAGACAGAAACTCCATTGCTTGAGCTATCACCATGCTTCCCCAGGTCTGTGTTAGTAGGAAACTAGAGTCAGGAGCTAGACCTGGGAATGGAACCCAGTTATTCTGATGTTGAATGTAGCTGTCTTAACTTGATACTTACATGTTAAACAAAATAGCTTCCCAATTGGTGTACTTTCTCTCAAGTTTCCCTTCTTTGTCTCACTTTCCCCATGCCACAATGCCCTAAATCACCTCCTAAATAGACAACCTGCACCTAGATGTTTAACTCAAAGTCTGCTTCTGTTGGAGTTCTAATCAGGACACTATCATTCCCAGCCCCCTTACCTGAGTGACTGCAGGCATCTCTTCCCTGGCCTTCTGCTTTCACTCCTACCCTCTCCAGGAGGCTCCACAGAACCAGTAGAAAGAATTTAAGTACAAGTCAAATGGGATCAGATCCTCCCCCAGTGCAAAGTCATCCCGAGATTATCTGTTGTTCTTAGAATGCAGCCCTGACCACCTACCTCATCTCTGTTTTCTCCATTCTCTTTGACCCGTCTGCTATCCAACCTTCTTGTGTTCCTTGTTTCTCTTGATCCAAACCATTGCAATTCAACAGTTAGGCTGCTTTGCTCAAAACTTCTGCCCTGGATGTTTTAGGATCTGCCCAGCTGACGCTTTTCTTTTTATCACAACACAGTCCTTGTTATCTTAAATTATCTATTTGGATTTTGCTTATTTTTTTTTCTGTACTTGTTTAGTTTTTGTCTCCCAGCTCATTGTGTAAATTCCATATATGCCAAGACTTTACTTTGTTGTGGAATTTAGCACAATTGCTGCCACAGAAGTGCTACTTAGTAAATGTAGAGCAAATGAGTGGTTGGGGGTGTGAAAGGAAGCACAATGAGTCAAGATCCAGTATCACGTTTTATTCAACTTTTTTATTTCAAAAATTAACATAGAAAAGTGGACTTATTTATGGAGTAATGTGTTTGCATGTATGCAGTATGTAATATATACAGTGTTAATGTTCAATCAGTATAAATATATTCTGTTTTTAAAAGATTTGTTTTACCTTAAACCAGAGTTACAGAGAGGAAGAGGGAGAAAGAGAAGGAGAGAATGATCTATTTTTCATCCTCTGGTTATCTTCCCCAAAGGCTGCAATGGATGGAGCTGGGCCAGTCTGGAGATTAGGAGCTTCTTCCAGGTCTCCCACATGGGTGCAGGGGCCCAAGGTCTCTGCTTCCTTCTCAGGCCATAAGTAGGGGACTGGATTGGAAGTGGAGGAGCTGGGACATGAACCAGAGCACATAGGGGATGCCAGAATCAAAGTTTGAGGTTTAGAATGCTATGTTATAACACCAACCCCTACATACTCTTTATAATGCTTGATATTTCTTGCTTTCTTGAACTAACCAATTTTTGTGGGATTGAGGCAATATTTCTTCATGGTTTTTGTTTATGTTTGCCTGATCAATAGTGATGTTGAACATTTTTTCATGTACTTGTTTATATCTTTCTTTGAGAAATCTCTGTTTAAATGTGTTTTCCCTTTTAAAATTAGATATTCCTTCATTCCTCCCTCCCTTATTTCTTCCCTTCTTCCCCCTCCTCTATTTCTCTAAATTTTTTTTAAAAAATTCTTTTTATTGGAAGCAGATTTATAGATAGGAGGAGAGACAGAGGAAAAGATATGTCATCCACTGGTTTACTCCCCAGGTGGCTGCAACAGCCAGAGCTGAGCTGATCCGAAGCCAGGAGCTAGAAATTTCCTCCTGGTTTCTCCCACAAGTACAGGGTCCCAAGGCTTTGGAATGTCCTTGACTGCTTTCCCAGGCCACAAACAGGGAGCTAGAAGGGAAGTGGAGCAGCTGGGATGTGAACTGGAACCCATATGGAATCCTGGCACGTGCAAGGTGAGGATTCAGCCACATGATGCTGGGTACCTCTCTCTGATTTTTAGTTGTTCAGCTTCCTTATGTGATATGAATATTGATTCTTTGTCTGTAGGGCTTGAGAATACTTTGTTTGATTCTGTGGATAGTGTCTTAGATCTGTTGATTATTTCTTTTTCTGTGTAAAGCCTCTTTTGTTTGATGCAATTGATTGGTCAACTTTTGCTTTTATTTCCTGTGCTTTTAGGGGCTGATCCTGGAACTTTTTCTCTACTCCAGTGTTCTGAAGCACTTTGCTATGTTTTCTTCTAATGGTTTCAGGCCTCACATTTAGGCCTTTTATACATTTTGAGCTGATTTTAGTAAATGGTGAGAGGTAGGAATCTAGTTGCTTTCTTTTTTATGAAGATTTATAATTTTTCAGCACCATTTATTAAAAAGGATTTTTGTTTTGAAATATCTCCTTAAAACCTTTGTTAAAGATCAGTTGGCTGTAGATGTGTGAGTTTAGTTCTAGGGTTTGTATTTTGTTCCATTGGTGTATGGATCTGTTTTTATGCCAATACCATGCTGTTTTAATTGCTGTAGTTTATTGTGCATTCTAAATTCAAGTAGCATAGTGCCTCCTGCAGGACTATCGTTTAATTTATCATATTTTTTCTATGGGGAATGATCTCCACCTATTCACCACTATTCTTTTATATTATCCAAGACCCAGCCTAAGGGTTTCTTCTAGAGAATCTTCTCTGTTTCTTTAAGCCAAAATGTTTTAATTTTCTACCAGCTAAAATAAAATCATTGATAAGTATATTTTGGTGACAAATGATTAGACACTGTGACTGTTCTTTGAATCACTTCATTAGTTCTAATGATAATTTGTAATTCACGTTTTCTTTTGCTATATATATAATAAAGTAAAAAAAAAATGGGTGCACCATCTTGGGCAAAATGTGCTGTTTTGTTACAGAGCACGGGACTCTGGTTACAGCTGCCCGTCTAGACATGGAGCAGACTGGGTTTGCAAGTGTGCAGTGGTTCTCTGTTAAGGCTTGTGACCGTGACCAGAGATGTGCAGCAATTACAGTGACTGCCTATATCCGCGGCATTAACGACAACTCCCCTTTCTGTGATCAGTATCTGATTAGGTGAGTAGAAGCAGCCGGGCATGAGCAAGAATTCAGAGCAGGTTGAGCTTAGAGATACTGCTGTATTATTGGCCCAGTTGGATATGTGGTTCATTATCAGGCCGACTCTGTCTCTCTTACTCTCTTGCCCACTCTCTGTTTTAAGGGGATATGTTCTTTATACACATCACTTACTTCCATGGATTCTGTTTCATTTTAAGACTTATTTACTTATTTGAAAGGACTTATTTACTTATTTGGAGGGGGAGAGAGAGAGCTTCCACATGCTGGGTCGGTCATTCCCTCTAGCCTGGTCTTCTGCATGGTCATCAAGGGTTGTCTTCCACTGCCTTCCCAGGGGCATTAAAGGGAAGTGAGATTGGAGCCAGGATTGGAACTGGAACTTCAATATGGGATGCTGGGTTGCAAACTGCAACTTCAGTTACTGCACCACATGACAGCCTCTCAGATTATACTGTTAATCGGCCTCATATTCTAGCCCTCAGAAATAGTCTTTATTTATGTATTTATTTATTTTTATTGGAAAGTCAGATTTTCAGAGAGAAAAGGCAGAAAGATCTTTCATCTGCTGGTACACTCCTTAAGTGGCTGCAATGGCTGGAGTGGAGCCGATCCAAATCCAGGAGCCAGGAGCTTCTCCTGGGTCTCCCATGGGGGTATAGGGTCCCAAGGCTTTGGGCCATGTTGTACTGCTTTCCCAGGCCACAAGCAGGGGTCTGGATGGGAAGTGGAGCAGCCGGGACATGAACTGGCACCCATATAGGATCTTGGCCCATGAAAGGTGAGGACTTTAATCACTAGGTTACTGTGCTGGGCCCCAGAAATAGCCTTTGAGCCAGTTCATGGTTGAACATTGGATTTTCACAATCTGAGAGTAGGTGGTTAAAGACTTGAGTTTTCTGATCACAGGCTTGCTGTGAAATCTGGGTTCTATCACTTATTATCAGTGTGATCCTGAGTAATTGACTTAAGCTCTTTAATGTTCAGTGTGTTTCTTCACAAAATGGGGTAATGATAGTACTTATAGATGATTGTGAGGACTCAACGGGAAAATGCATGCGACATTCTGAGCACAGCACTGAGCATCTGATATAAGTATAAATAAGCATGTAAATAAGTGCTGCTATTACAATTCTATAACTCACTAACTGAAATCCATTACACTAAGTAGGTTAACATTTTTTTTATTTATTTAAGAGAGAGAAAGAAGGAGGGATAGAAGGAGGGGAGGGGGAAAGAGGGAGAGCCCGAGAGAGAAAGAAAGAAAGAGGGAGAGAGTATGAAAAGAGGAAGAGGGGGGAGGGAGGAACAGAGGGAGAGGGTGCTCCATCTCTAGGTTTACTCACCAGCTGCTTCCCGCTGCTGCCCGAGCTGGGAGCCAAAATGCAGGCGTCAGGACCCTACTTACTTGAGCTGTCGTGGCTGCCCCTCAGGTCTTAATTAGCAGAAAGTTGGAGTCGGGAGCTAGAGCAGGCACATAAGCTTATTACCTGGTTTCCTTCCTTTTAGGCCAAATGGATTCCTGGATATAATATTGAATATGATTTTTCCAGTCCCTGTCTAATAAAAAATAAAACTGAGCCTTGCTAATTGCCACCCATTATGATCAAACACAACCTGTGCTTAGAGTTTCTTTGGTTTGGGGCTTGGCGTGCACTAGGCAAATGTTATCCTTTCTCATTCTCCTTTCCCCAGAAGAATGAGAGTAAAATAACTTCAGGCTTCACTCCTTGGCGGGACAGGATAAGTATTTGTTACGCTCAGCTCATTCACTGTAAAGGTATGTGTGTTACCTTGCCAGGGAGATAAGATGTATCCATATAAAAAACTTTTTAAAAAATACATGAAGACTTTAAGTCCTAACTGTTGTGCTTCAATTGCTAAGAGAAAAAAGGTGTGAGGCTGAGAAGCTTCCTAATGCATGGTGGCTGTATCAGTCTTGGAAAGATGAACCAGAGCTAGAGGTTGACATCTTAAGAATGAGCATCCAAGACACAGGGAGCACAGAAAAGAGATGAGTGAATCCTTGGAGTTGGTCAGAAGTTCGTGGCTATTGTGGAGCGGTGAGGGTTCTCTCCTGTACTGCACCACTGGATGCTCAGGCCTTAACAATCCAAAAGAATGAGCTGATGCCGACTCAGATCTTCATCATTGAGCTGGATGGCCTTGATGAACTGCTTTCCAAGCAAGTGCACCATTGGCTGCTGGCACGGGCTCCTCCCAGCAGAGAAGGATTATACTGAATTCATAGACTGTTTGGGAAATGTCATCCTGGATGGTGCTCTAAACATCATCTGTCTGCTCCCACATGGATGAGGCATCACAGGCAGGCATTTTCTAAACTTGCAGACATTCCTGAGAAGAGAATTACATTTTGAAAGAGTATCTAAAGTTGTTTTTAATTTTCTTAAAAAAAAAAACAAACAGGTACACAGGCAAGGAAGTGATTGCGAAGGGCACAGTGGTGGCAAAGCTCAGGTGCCACGATCTGGATGAGCCTCCGGATACGATCCATTACGCTTCTGTCTCAGGCCCGCTGGGCTCTGGACAAATCTTCGAGCAAGTGCCAAATGCTGACAATTTCATCCAGGTGAGCACCAGAAGCGGTCACTGCAGGGGAGGAGGGGCTTTGCCACAGAGATGGAGTAATTTTGTGGCCATAAAAAGTTCAGCAAGAGGAGCTCTGACCCAGGAGAGCGTAATCTTAGGATTCTGTGCCATCTCCGATGGAAGGCATTTGGACAAGTCTTTCATGATTGTGCATTCTATCCTTTCTGTAATGAGCTCCAAACCATGTGCTACCTATTGAGTTGAAGAAATGAACCTGAGGGTTAAAAATCATGCTGATTTCCTTAGAGGTGAGACTATGAGAATATTCCAGTGAAATTGTTATTCTTCCACCATTGGATGGGGCTTCTGAGCTCATCAGCATCTTGCAATGCTGAATTTTGGGCAGAGGATGGACTCAGTAAATATTTGTTTTCTCCCTTTCCCAAAATGGGACTTATCTTTTTAGGAAAATAAAAAAAAAATGGAAAATATCTTTTTTTATCTTCTTGGTTTTTAAAAAAGATGTATTTATTTTTATTGGAAAGACAGATACACAGAGAGGAGGAGAGACAGAGAGGAAGAGTTTTTCATCTGCTGGTTCAGTCTCCAAGTGGCTACAACAGCTGGAGCTGAGCCTATCCAAAGCCAAAAGTCAGGAGCTTCCTCCAAGTGTACCACTTGGGTGTAGGGTCTCAAGGCTTTGGGTCATCCTTGACTGCTTTCTCAGGCCATAAGAAGGGAGTTGAGTGGGAAGTGAAGCAGTCAGGATATGAACTGGTTCCCATATGGGACCCTTGTGCATGCAAGGTGAGGACTTTAGCCACTAGGCTACCATGCTTGGCCCCAGATATTCTTTTTTCCAACCCACAGGACTTCATTTCAATGCGCCAACCCCTGGTTGGTTGACATAATTGCTCTGTAATCCAGATTAACACTGAGCAAATCCCCCCCTTAATCAGGTATGTGGTTTACAACACATGGGTTACTTTTCTTTCTCACTCTCCACCTGGACTTTCTCGACATGCCCCACTAGCTTTAAGCTGAGCTTTTGCATAGGTTGTGAAATTTGGAAGATCACGCTTTGAGCTGAGAGTTTTCTGGGTTGATGTTCATTTTGAAATTCAATGGCAACTTTTACTTTGTGAAATAGAGCTTAGGTGAAAATGGAGATTTGTAAATATGCTATTTTTTTTTGTTAAAGATTTACTTAATTTTATTGGAAAGGCAGACTTAGGAGATACAGAGAGGAAAATCTTCTGCCTGCTGGTTCACTCTGCATGTGGTCACAGTGGCTGGCTGGAACTGAGCTGAACTGAAGCAGGAGGCAGGAGCTTCCTCTGGGACTCCCATGGGGTGCAGGGTGCCAAGGCTTTGGGCCATGCTCGACTTCTTTCCCAGGCCACAAGCAGGGAGCTGGATGGGAAATGGAGAAGGTGGGACATGAACTGGCACCCATATGCTCGAATTATACTATCTAAGATTTGTAGCTTTGGACCCGGTGTGGAAGTGGCTTAAGTCCTTGCCTTGCACGCTCCAGGATCCTATATGCATTCCCGTTCATGTCCTGGCTGCTCTACTTCCCTTCTAGCTCCCTGCTTGTGGCCTAGGAAAGCAGTCAAGGATGGCCCAATGTTTTGGGACCCTGTACTCATGTGGGAGACCCAGAAGAAACTCCTGGATCTTGGCTTCGGACTGGCTAGCTCCGGCTATTGCAGCCATGTGAGGAGTGAACCAGCAGAGGGAAGATCTTTGCTTCTCCTCTCTGTAACTCTACCTCTCCAATAAAAAGATACATCTTAAAAAAGATTTGCAACTTCACACATGTTTATTTTATATATCAAGAACTATTGTCATCTATCACTCACCTCTAATTTTTATGTTTCTGTAATAATCTTCTAAGTATAAAACATTACTACTAAGAGTTTCCTTTTACTATTATAACTGACTTAATTCTCTGTGCTAAAGACATTATAAGTTATATATGCTATTCAGAACAATTTTTAGACTTTATTACAACCGCCTATTTCATTGTTGATTTTACTAACTATAAGTTTCTGATGGACTCATATTTCTATTCCCAAGCCCCTATGTTTGTTGTATGATAGGTATTTATTGTAGTTGTTGAATGGATGAATGAATGAATGAATCTAAGTTTAACATTAAATTTTTTAAAAATGTCTTGTTCTCAGACATCTGGGTCGTTGGTCTTACATTGATCCATCCCAATTTTTAGAAACTGAAATTCTAGTAATGCTAGTCAATTCAGAGCATCTTTAATTATCGAAATGAGTTTTCGGTTTTATGAGCTTCTTAGTGCCTAAAAATACACCTGGCACCTAGTTAATGCTCAATAAATATTTAAAAACGGTGAGTGACTTATAGTAATGGGAGTAATTCACACTGTTACGTTGAGTTACTCAGAGAGCAAGAAGCAAGAAATGGAGAGGAAAGTGAGGTCTTCTATACACTGATTCACTCCTCAAATGGCTGTTCTGGCCAAGGCAGGACCTTGAAATCTGTCTGAGTCCCCCACAGGGCCAAGCCCCCTGGCCATTGCCAGTAGTTCTCCCGAGGAACTTTAGCAGGGACCTGTATTGGGAGTGGAGCAGCTGAGACCTTGAATGAGCACCCATAAAAGATGGTGGCATCAAAGGCAGCAGCTTAGCATGCTGGGTCACAACAAGGGCCTCTCATTTATGTGTTTATAGTGCTTAGTTATTTATAAGGTATGTTTTAAATATTTTCTTTTTAAATATTTGGCATTAGGTTACACAATTCCCATTCAGTGAAGACAGAGTATAACTAATGTTTTCCTTCTGCTGTGTTAGGAAACTATATCCAAAAATTCGCTACTTTGTAAGGAAATTCAAGATGCCCCTTTGTTCTTGTTCGATAGATTATATCTCAAAGACATGAAAATAGCCAAACACTCTTTCTGTTCTATAAGGTTTCCAGAGATGTGGATTATGAGGACCCAGAGATGATTGCAGCTGGCCACATCTATGAGCTGATGGTTTCAGTGTTTGATGACTCACATCCCTCTCATACAGGTGATCTTCTAAAAGGTTTTACTTATTTAGTTTGAGTAATGTATAGTGCTTGTGCGTTTCTTGTGGGGTGTGTGTTTATAGGGGGTATGAACTGGTTAAATCAGGTCATTAGCATTGTCATATCATTATCATTTCTGTATCATCGGTATCTTTAAGCTCCTCTTTGCTAGTTACACCTAGAGTATGTGGCATGAGATTATGAGTTATTGTTTCCACACTGGGCTGTGGAACGGTAGATTTTCTTCCTCTCCAACCTAACTGTGTTTGGGTACCTGGTATTTTTTTTTTCTTTAGAGTTTTCCATTAGTAGACTATAGCAGTTTTAGATTGACAGACAAAATTTAGTAAATAAAAGAGTTCTCATATACTTTCTTTAGCTTAATGTTTTGTATTTGAAAGAACATTTATAATTAACATTATAGTCCAAGAGTTAATGCTCCATTAAATAAAGAGTTTAATATAGGAATTTAGGCAAAGACTATAAACAGTAATCCAGTGAGAAGATGTTCAACTTCTGTAGTGTTTTGTTTTAACTTGTTGTCAAGTAAATTAAGAGCTATATACTGCTGTGGTTTTAACAATTGTCAGTATCTAAATTATTTGAGTGAAGTAGAGTACCTGTTTTTCAGTCACCTTCTGTCTTCCCTTTCCCTATGTATCTCAAGTAAGCATTATTCTACGTTAAGACCGACTTTTAAAAAAGACTTATTTGTTTGAAAGGCAGACTGACAGAGAGGGACTGGTAGGGGGAGATTTAGAGAGTGAGAGAGAGAGAGAGAGAGAGAGAGAGACATCTCCCATTTGTAGGTTCAGCAAACAGGTTGGGAAAACCAGGTGTAGGTCAGGTGACAACCAGAAGCCAGGGACTCCATCGTGGTGTCCTGTTTGGATGGCTAGGACCCGAGCATGAACAGGAAAGTGGAGCAGCACGGACTTGGGGAGTGGTGGCTTTAACCTATCACAAAGCTAGAAGCTTCAGATTAACTTTGCAAAGCTGCCATATATGGAAGTAAGCATGTGGATTTGTCTTTCTGTATCTGGCTTATTTTGAGCTCCAGTTCCATCTGTTTTGTTGCATTTGACAGAATTTTATTCCTTTTTTTTAGCTGAATGATATTCTATTATATCCAGATTCTCTATTCATTCATCAGTGAGCACCTAGGTTGATTTAATATTTTGGCCACTGTCAATAGTGCTGCAAGGAATAAGAGAGTATAAAAAGATGATTTAATTGTCTTTAGAAATTATATATGATTTAAATGAATAAATAAATTATATATATTTATCCAGAAGTGTGATAACTATGTCAGGTGATAATTTTTTTTTTCAGTTTTTTTGTGGAAGCTCCATGCTATATTCTGTAATAGCTATACTAACTTACATTCTGACCAGAGGTGTGTTGGGTTTCTGTTTTCTTCACATTCCTATCAGCATTTGTACTTTTGAATTTTTGTTAATAGCCATTTTTATAAAACCAGAATGAGATATCTTACTCTGGTTTCAATTTGCATTTACATATCAGAAATTTTGATAGGGTTTTCAAGGAACAGTAACTGTCAATTCTTTAGGCTTTTCACTTTAGATTTTAAAATGTAAAGCTGTGTCTCATCTGGGACATGTTTGTTAAGTTAGTCAGATGATGAAGAGAGTTAGGTAGAACTATGTTAAAAGTTTCCTTTAGATGTTGGAAGTCGTTTTTACCTCTAAGCAGTACTTTCAACAATACAAAACTTTTAAACACAGCTCTGACTAGCAATTCTGGGAGCAAGAAGAGACAAGGAATATGTGGACCCAACAATTATGCTTGACACTTGAGTGGCTTCATGCTTAGTCATATCCAATATATCATAACTGGAGATAGCCAGCTGTTAGGAATCATGTAGTCTAAGCATATAGGTAATTACGTGCCTTTAAACATTTTATTTGAATTATTTTTCCTAGTATAGATGGAGCCATTACTGGGACAAGTTTTTGCAGTTCATGCCTTTCATAAAATTTTGAAGTGTGGTTACCCCTTTTTGCCATTTGTTCTTAGAACTGTCACATCACTTTGGGTCAGCATATAGTAGAATAGGCTTTGGGTACATTGAAGTTAATTCCACCCAGAGTGCATAAGCCTTAACTTTTTGACATTTTTGGATGTAACAGCCACAGCTTTGCTAATTACAGAACATTCTGAATTGTGTATTGTGGACACACAGTGAAATACCTGGTGGGAGGTGAACTTAGTTAACCACCTGACATCTGCTTCTGCCTGCTTATTGATCATGCACGAAGTGCCCTGAGTGGTCATTTGCAACTATTTGTTGAATTTGTTAGCTATAGAAGTTATTTGTGAAAATAATAGTCTCAAATTGTCCTGGCTACATCTATCATTAGTGTCAACGGTCTGTTGTCTCTGGAAAGCATAATAATAAGTAATCCAGCAGGTGGTTAGCATTAAAGATGTCTGATGTTGGCATTAAAATGTGGGCATTTGGATGGCAAATGCAAAGTTATCAGTAGAATGGCAGCGCATGATAAAGGAGGTTCTAGAATAGCAGCAGGGTTTGTGTGTCTTCTGTGAGAACTCTGAATTGGTGGTAGTGGCTATCTGGATCTTTGGGAAAGGTTCTGAAGCTGCATGTGGGAGAAGCAGGAAGGAGAGCTGTGTCTTTTATGGAAGTGGAAAAATGCAATGAAGGTGTGTTTGCAGTCAAACAAATACTGAACTATGATCAATTCCTCTAGAACACTGTAAATCTGATTCACTAAAGAAGAGTTTTAATGGGTCTAAATTTACAAAGGTAATGTGTAGATTTAGAGGATCTAACTATCTGAGGAGGTGATTGCAAGGACAGGAAAAAGGCCTGAAAAAAGGCCCCAAAGTGTCCTTACATGTATTTTCTCTACTCCTTACTGTTGGGGTTTTGTGTCCATCTGACCTTTCAGGGCAGATACATTGTCTTGCAAATACTTGATCTGAGGGTTTAATTAGCAAGAAATCTGCCCATTTGAGCCTTTCCCCAAAATGGAAGGGGGAAAATATCTCTTGGTAGTAAATCTGGATCCCATCTAGGAAACAAACCCCGTCACACTCACAGCTGCTCATAAAGGATGCTTGTAACACCCCATGTGTGGCTCTGTCTATTTTTACAGGTCAGCTAATTAGTACAATTTTGAGTCTATGAATTCAGCAAAAGATCACAGTATGGTAGGGTTGTAAATGGTACCTGCTTTTCAACACATAAGATATTTATTGAAGAGAAAATACAGGCTTTAGCATAAATGACCTGCCTTTGCAGAACAGCACTTTTTAACTTTTCTTGGGGGAAGGCGGTCATGGATACCTTTTAAGAGTCAACAACTTTGTGACATTTGGTCAGGAGCTTAACTCAACCTCAGTTTTCTCCTCTGTAAAATCAGAACAGTCATAGTAATGACAAGCTTGTGACTTATACACTTAATGCTAATTATTTAAAAAAAAAAACTCTCTTGTTGCTGCATCTGTGTTTGAGCACCAACTTCTTTTTTGTCAAGTTTCTGATATGCTAATTTGTTGTTCTGAAATAGTTTCTTTCCTATAATATACAGCATACAAATATCTGGCTAAAGTGGAAAATTTAACTTAAGCTTTGATCCCTTGAAATTATTTATTGGAGATGTATGTTGGGTGCAGAAGTTAAGAACAGATATCACATGTTCTCTGATATAAGGGAAGCTTCATGAAAAGTACAAGATAAATAAATACATCAGTAAACAAATATATACACAATTTTTATCTAGAGGAACTGTATAACAGAGACTAGTATACCAAGAAGTAAAAATATGTTGCTGTATGCATCTATATTTTTGAATAAAAGACTCCCAATGACACTGTTAAATATATCTTAACAATAGGATGCTGGACTTTCTACCATCATCTATACCTACAACGTCATGATACACTTAAATAGCAGAATGATGATGTAACTGTTGCTGAAGAACTATACTATTGTAATTATATGGGAGAAAACAGTGGAAGGGATAAACCCTGATCCTGGGGAACTGTATCATGAAAAATAAAAATTAAAAGAAAGTTAAGACACTGCTTGGGTTTTGCGATTCAATATCAGAGTGACTGGATTTGAGTCTCAACTTTACTGCTGTTTCTAGCATCCTCTTAATCTATACTCTGGTAGGCAGTAGATGATGGGTCAAGTATTTGGGTCTCTGCCACTTACATGGAAGATTCCCGTTGAGTTTTTTCCTTCAGGCTTTGGCCTAACTCAGTCCTGCCATTTTTGGTATTGAAGAGTGAACCAGTGGATGGGAGAACTGTGTGTCTTTTCAAAAATTAGACAGAAAAAACCCTTCTGGAATATGATCTCATTAGGTTCTCATATTCATAATGTAATATATGAGATATATACTGATTTACTGTTTCTTTATTGATGAAAAAAAGAGAAATAAAACTGGTTCAAGGCCCCAGAGTGCATGGGAAAGTCAAACCTAGAGCTTCAGTTTTTTGAGTCCCTCTCTGATGTGCCCTGGGGTGTGTATATTAGAAACAGGTTGTGTGTGATACCCCAACAAGCTCTTCTAAAGGTGAAGACTGTACCCATGAAAACCAAAGTCATTTAAGTTGTGTAAAATATATGTTATAAGACATTTATATACAAGAGAAAAGTATACATACACACACATATACTTATACATATCTATTACATAAATAAAGCATGGCATACTCTGATGATATATGTTCTTCAACTGGTTTTGGCTAGTACTACAATTTCTTTTGAGTCTTAGAGAACACAGAATCTGGGAGCAGGAGTAATTTTGGAATAGAGAATTTCCAGTTGTAGTTTGAAAATCCTCTGCTAAGCTAATTCCAGGATCAGGAGGAGGGGGGCACATTTAGCCTCATTAAATAGAATCAAACAGTAAAGCTGCAACCACAACACATTTATTCACTGTTTTACAGTCACTGTGACCATCATTGTGGTGATTACTCCAACCAATGATTTCAGCCCTGTGTTTAAAGCTGCACACTACTCCTTCTCGGTGTCAGAAACATCAGGAGGTAAGAGATCCCTTGCCCGCAGGTAGCTAAAGGATGCACAGAGAAACACCTGCTAGATCTCAGGTGAGTGGTCAATGGGCAAAACTGTGAAAGTCTAAGAAACTCAAGCAGATGAGCGAGTGTTCAGAGACCGACCCAACTATCCTGATGATTCTGCCAAGTCTCCCTTGAAATTTGATGTCAGACCTAGGACTTTTGTCATGGGCAGATACACACTATTAATTTTATCTTCCCCAACCCCTACCCTTTGACTCCAAACTAAGCCCAAATGTAAAGAAGGAGTGGGACAGTACAGGCCTTGTCCATGCAACTTAAATGCCAAGAACAATGGGCACAAAATGTAAGATCCTGAGTCAGTTTGGGCTAATATTTTATCTCAGACATGAATTAGAGAATTTGGGTGTGTCTGTTAGCATAGACCAGATAGCATTAAGTTTGTAAGAGCAGAGGCGGGGCTTGTCGTCCATCATTCAGAGGAAGAACACATGATCCCCTCATCAGTGTCTATGGATAATCAGTCATACGGATCTGACTTACATACTTCAAGGGGTGGAGGGAAAGTGTTGTGTACTGTAGTCAAATCACATTAGTGTATAAGACCTAATTGTGAGGGTTTTATGACTTGATTATTAGTAACAGACATTATTAATAAAAAGTTAGATAGCTTATTTATGTAATGTATTGAAATAAAATGAATGAATACTAAAGGTATATTTTTAAAAAAAATTCTGTTAGATTTTTCCTGTACCTTCAGTTATTTAGTTCTATCGGATCTACAGGGTAAAATGCTAGAATTACAAAATTGAGCTGTTGTCCACTTTTTCAACTTGTTAATGTTGTGTCAATAGCTTGAAATGGGAAATTATGGAATTATTGAGCTTGATTCATTGTTTCCCTAAGTTATCCAGACTTTAAAAGATCACAGAGAAAATGTTAGTAATGCTGATGAAAATCTCTGTGCTTGAGACTATTATTGTGAATGGCATAAAAATTTGTAGAAATACATAGTCCTTCAGCAATCAAAAGCTATTGTCTAATTCAGCAAAGAAACCATTCCTATCATTGACAAACGTTGGAAGTTCTGACATGGTTTTCCTTTCACTTATTCACATAAAAGAAAATATCAAGTAGTATTCAGTTGCAATTGCTCTGATTCATCTATGGCAATCATAGTGTTTTAACGGATGGTGGTTTGGTGGAAACCAGTGGAAGCATTCTGTGAAAATTAACTGCAACATTGGAGTTTACAATAAAGAGTAATGTGTATTTTGTTACATATATAATGCTACATATCTTTATTAAAATTTAAAATTAATGTATATAGTTCTTGTGTGTATGTTCATACACACAAATAAGAAAAATACACACAATTTAGATTTCAGAGAGCAGGTGGTTAAATATTTGCAAGCACACCAGTGGGTGGGACCCACACTAATTTGAGCCAGCTTATTCCTTTGACAGACAACTCATTATCAGACACTTGTTCTTAGGGCAGCATAGTAAATCTAAAGCCCATGTATTTTGATTTAAATCCTTCATTTGCCTCACCAGGCAGCTTTTTGTAAATTTCCTAATATCTCTGTAAAATAAAAAGCAATCTGTTTATTTCCTGGTCCAGTATAAAATCTAACTGCATGTTTTAGTGTATGAGCAGAAATTGCAGGATAGTTGAATATAAATTACACTTATTGTATATAGGATCCTAGACTCTTCAACCTCCATGAGCTTTATTTTCACTGTGTAAGTACTTAATATTGACTTTTTAGTATAGTCATAAATACTTCTTTAAAAATATGTTAGATACACACACATATGTAGAGAAAAAGAGAAATCTTCCATCTGCTGGTTCATTTCACAAATGGCCACCCTGGCCAGGGTTGGGCCATTCCCAAATCCAGGATCCAGGAGTTTCATCTAAATCTCCTATGTAAGTAAAGGGACCCAAATACTTGGGCCATCTTTCATAGCTTTCCCAAATCACTGGTAGAGAGCTGGATTGGAATTGGAGCAACTAAGACACATATACTGGATTGCCATTGGTGACCTTACCTGCTACACCATGTGTCCTCCATCCCTTATAGTCATATACCACTTAATAATGGGTTATAGATTCTGAAAAATTTCTCATTAGGTGATCGTGCTGTGGGAATCTCATGGAGTGTGCTTATGTAAGCTAAGGTGGCTCCAGTGTCACTGATGCTCATTCTTTTTTCTTTTCTTTTTCCTTTCTTTTTTTTTTTTAACAGTGAAATATTTGACGTGGGCTACTTAAAGAAGGAAAGAAATTTATTTTGATGCATGGTTCTGGAGAATAATGTTCAGGATCAGGTGGCCCTATTGTTTTGACATCTGGCATGGCAGCAGATGGGATTGGAGGAGTTTGAGGAGAAGTAGGAGCAGAGAAGAGTGGCTGGGACTCTCACAAGAATAGCTTTTGTGAGCGCACACCCCAATGATCTAAGGGCAAGGCTCACCTCCTAGGCACTATAATCGGGTTATGTTTTTACTCACTTAGCACCACTAATTTATGGCTTGGCTGTTCAAGAGCCAAGCTGAGTTCAAATCATAGCAGTGACACAATCTCATGGGACCATCACTGTGACGCTTTCTGTTGTTGACCAAAGGTCAACTGGTACATGACTGTAATCTTTTGTTCACAGAGCCTCGTTACGATAGCTTCTTGTTTCCCTTAATTCTCCTGGTTCTCGCGGATGGTAAATAGTGTGGTTGTCTATGATGAGCAGAAGTTAAATCATTTGCAATTAACTCATCATCTCCAACTCCTAAATTGTAAATTGAGAGTGGAGGATCTGAGAATTAACTGTGAGGGTCCCAATGGGAAAAAAAAACCCAGCCTGGGAAAGCAGTCAAGGATGACGCAAAGCCTTGGGACCCTGCACCCTGCATGGGAGACATGGAAGATGTTCCTGGCTCCTGGCTTCAGATTGACTCAGTTACAGCCATTGCAGCCACTTGGGGAGTGAATTATTGGATGGAACATCTTCCTCTGTCTCTCCTCCTCTCTGTATATCTGCCTTTCCAATAAAAGTAAATATATCTTTAAAAAATAAAAGAAAACCAATATTGTGGAAAACAATATGTGAATTTAAAAATTTTTATACCACAGAAAACTTACTTTTTAACTCCATTTCTATGAGGTCTTAGAAGTACACTCATATGTGAAGTCCATGACTTAAAATAGACATTATTTCATTGCCAGTGATATTAATAACTACCAGTATTTATTGAGTGTCTGTCATGTATAATATCAGCACTTTCCTTAACTTTTAAAAAACAATTTTTTTGCAGGGGCAGGGAACATTCTCCACAAGAGTAAAAAGAGTGAATGAAATTAAAAGATTTTGTTTCTTAGCAGTTTCCTATTAGACAAGAGCTTCACAACTTGGAAGTAGTTTGACTTAAAAAAGGAAAACTGGAAAGCTGAAACTATTCTGAAAACAAGCTCCTCTCAGAAAATCAAATATTTAGCTTGTGGACCTTAAGAAAATTGGAAAAAATATGTTAAGGGCTGGCACTGAGATCACAGTGGGTTAAAGCAGCTGCAAGGGACAACCATGTTACATGTTGGAGTGATAGTTCTTGTCTCAGCTCTACCACTTCTAAACAAGCTTCCTGCTAATGTGCTGGAGTGGCAGGAGATGACAGTTCAAGTTCTTGGGCCCGTATAATCCACTGGAAGTGTTTGACATTCTTGGAAAGGTTTCTAGCTCTTCCACTTGGCCTAGTTCTGCTGTTGCAGCCATTTAGGGAAAAAGGTATCAGACTCATTCTTCTCTCTCTCTCTCTCCGGCTCTCCCCCCACCCTTGTTCTCTCCCTCTCTCTGTTTATTTCACTCTGCTTTTCCAGTAAATAAGTAAATTTTCAAAAAACAAACCTGATTTATCCCTCAGGATGTGTCGATTAACATCAGGGATTTGGATCTGTCTTGTGAATAACTTGTTTTTTTTTTCCTGTATAAATTTCAGTGAATCTGTAGTATTTTAAATAGATTTTTCCCCTTTCCCAATAGTCTGTGGTAAATTGAAAACACACACATAACACACACATACACACAACTTGAGGGGCATCGGCAACAACAAAAAGGCAACTACCAGAAAATACAACTACCAGAAAATACATGGAAACTGAATTTTATTGGGTTTCAAGTCACAGGGGAAGATATATCTAGTTCTAGTAATTTTTGATGAAGAGTTGGGCATAATTACAGTTCTGCAAAATGATTCCATTTTAAACTTCAGTTAAAGATGCTCAAGGTAGCTTTTAATTTTTATTGGAAGGTTAATTTTATACCTATGGAAGAGCGAGCATCTCATTAACCAGGTGTTAAATGTAAAAATGACATTATCTTTTTCCAGGAGTATGACTGCAAATGAAAATTTCCTCTGTGAAGTCTTCTATGTGGTCTTGTGTTACTTGTAGCACCTTTGTCTTAATAATAATGCTTTTATGCATGCAATAGGTTGGGCTCTTTGAAACATGTCCTTTTCACAAAGGTGGCTTTTCTGTTCTCAGTGTTGTGCATTGTCTTCATTGTTTGTTTCTCAGCACATCCTCAGACACTGATGAACTTTGATAAAAAGAGGATGCGAAGAGAGAAAAGAACCTGTGCGAGGTGGAAGGTGGCAGGGACTGCATGTAAAATGGCCTTTTCATTATTGTATTTCCTTCTTGATGATTAGCCACCAAAATATTCTGTACATATGTTGGTGAACTAGCCATTGTAAGATAACATTTTACTAAATGGAGGAGGCACAGTATTTAATTCACACAGAAAACGATTGAAAGATAAACCTATTATACCAGTTCTGCAGTGTGAGCGTACTGTGCAAACCCTCCCCCAGCCCAATTAGAGTAACACAGCAGCAGACGTTTGTTTAGCCTGTGGCTCTGGGAATTGGCTTGTCTGGGTTTGCTCACCGTTAGGAGACTTGGCTGATCTTCAACTGATCTGTCCTGGCTTTGGCTGGGATGACCAGGGATAGCTTGACTCTTTCCTTATGTTCCAGCAGTCTGCTCTGGGCATGTTCTTGGGGGTCAAAGAAAGAGTTGCAACAATCAGGCAAGTGTAATAATGCAATTTAAGACTGCTTGAACCAGGTTTGTAAAATAAGCTGTGAGGCTGGGCCCCAGGTCATAGGCAAAGGGCACTATAAATTTCTAAGAAATGAAACATGAATACAGAAGGATAAAGAATTTTGGCCTTTTGATGCAACCAGGTTGTCATACCAGTTTTATTCTGGAAGATTGGTGAGGAGTTCTATAGACTGGAATTAGAACAAGATAATTTTTAAAAATGTGGCTTTAGAATTAGTTTTGAATCCTCTCTCTTATAGTTCTAGCTCTGTGACCTTGGGCAACTTATATAGGTCTGCTGGATCGAGTTTTCTTATCTGTAAAGTGAAGGCATTAATAGCACATTTATCATAGACCATTGCAATGATTAAATAATATTGTAAGTAATAGCTAATTCTTATTTTCTGCTTAATGCATACCAAGCAGTAATCCAAATGCTTTAAGTCTAAATGCTCATTCAGTCTTCTATGTGACTAGATACCCATGCTGCTGTTTCTCATTTACCAATGAAGAATATGAGTGCTACAGCAGTTATGGAACTTTCCAATGAATTACACTCATGCCTGACACAGCTGAGATTGGGAGCCTAGGCAGTCAGTCTAGTCTCAGAATGTATGCTGTGAATTATTATCTGAAGCTAATCTTATCCTAAGGCTAAGATTTCTTAGTAGTATAAATTTATTTTAAAGTAAAATAATTTGACTTATGCCATGTTTAAAATGGTGGAGAACTCCCTCTAAATCCATCTTCCATTGGTAGAGTTGGGATCTTCAATACATGTTAATGCCCCACAGAATTCGGAGTGAACCTTTGAGAAATTGTAGTGCCATCTGACAAGCAAAGGTAGGTTAAGCTGTTCAGAGTGATGCATCTGCATGACGAGAGTGAATCTTATAAAATGTGCTTGGCAGCTTTCCACAAAGTTGGGAGAGTGATGGCCTTTGATGAAGACTACCCATTCAACTGTGTGACCTACCAAATAACCAGTGGAGACATCCGGGGTATGCAGAGATTCTGGATTCAGCCTCTGTCGGGGGTGATTGAACTTACCACGCAGCCAGACTATGAGACTGTGAAGCAGTATAACCTCACTGTGGAGGCTGTGGATTGTGACTGAGTTCATCCTCGCACAGGGACCACCGTGGTAAGCAGGGAGACGCAACAGGCACAATGCGCTATGTTCAGATATACTACAATTGGAATGGTTAGGCAGTAACCACACTGGAGAATAGAGAATCTTGCAAATTTCTCCAACTTTCCAAGCATATGTTCAGTAGGAAAGTTGAAGCTTGATTGAGAAAAAGGAACTAAGGACTAATTCTCATTAAATTAGTAAACTTATAATAATGGCAAATACACACTCCATGCTTACTTATCACTCAGTTCCTATTCTAGGCCAAACAAATGTTTTGTCTAAGAATGGAGTTATCAGAAATGTGTTATGATTCAATTTGTCTTTCCCTTTTCTCATTTGTAGTAAATGAATGATAATTGCAAATGGGGCCATTCTGTACTATTGATAGGATTCATACATGTCTACAGGACAAACCACCACAGATGCCCAGGGTAAAGATCTGTCTGGCAGGTGTGATCTTTGGAAAACCTCATGACTGTTACACACAGATAAGATAGATGGAGATACGTAATTATTTCACACCCTTCAGGCAGGCTACACATACACATATTTATTTAGATTGGCAATATCATAACCACTTCTGCTGCAGATGAGGAGCTGGATACACAGAGCTTAGGAAACCCTCCTGAGTATACTCACAAGGGCCATAGAACTAAATTCACTTAGGCCTCTCATTGACTTTTACATTGAAGGAAATTAGTTATTCTGCCTTCTTTTGGTATCAAAGTGGGGGCAGTGTGGGCCTCTAAATTTCCCCAGTAATACTAAAGGACTGTTGTAAAAGACGTCAAGATTGAATACTGCTGTGCTGATGATGTGGTTTGGGTTATTAGTGACTACAAGCTTTAGTCATTGGAGAAGAGATAGCAGGAGGGTGGGAGAGGTATTAGGCCCTCATCTGGTGTGGTGATTCATTGTGCATTTCCTCCTGCTGAGCAGAGCCCCCTGGCTGGATGCTTGCATGGTTATTAGCATTCCTGAATGTATCATTGTGATGAAAACTTTAGATCCATGTACACCCACAATCAGAATATCTTTGACAGCGACTTCCTTACAGGCATGGGGACAGAATTTTATAGCTTTGTTGTCGCAAAATAACTTGAGGGGATGGGTGCTGTTGTGCATTGGGCTTAGACACCATCCCCTAGGAGAGTGCTTGATCAAGTCCTGGCTGCTTCGCTTATCATCCAGCAGTGGACAATCATTCAAGTACTCAGGACCTGCACTCACATGCGAGACTCACATGAAGGTCTGGGCCTTTGTCAGCCTGTCTCAGCCCTGGTTGTTGCAAGCATTTTGGGAGTGAAACAGTGAGTTGAAAACTCTTGCTTTTGCTTCCTGATGCTTTGCTTTTCAAGCAGATGAAAAATAAACATTTAAAAACAATAATAACCACAAGTGTTATCCTCACATCTGTGCAGCTATGGCGGTTTTCCCTGCAGTCATTTATGATCTCCCCAAACAGGGTAAGATGCAGTTATCATCTGCGTACTACAAACAGGAAGAGGGAACAGCAGATTGGATAATAAGGATAATAAAAATCTCTCAATGACTCTTTTTATAACAAGAGTTCATGTTTTGCCTAATGATAAAACAGAACTTTGTTCCTTCTTTATTTTAATGAATATTTATTGAGTAATTATGTATAGTAGATGTGCTACCATGCTAACACACGCCTTCAGGCAGTTTGAAAAATGTTAACATTTGAAAAGTGAAATTGTATGTATCAGGTACAAAATTGATGATATAAAGAAAAATCAACTTTCAAGTTCAAAAAAGAGAGACAACATTTTAAACATCAAAGTTCAAGACTCTGTCATTGTTGTTTTCATCATTGCCATCATTCTCATCATTCATTCATTGTTCACCAATATAGTGCCAAGTACTGATACACACCATTTACTATCTCATTTTGCCGTCACTTTGATTCTGTGAGGTGGTTCAAAGAATTATACTTCCAAAGCTTAGAAGTTGAGTGGCTTATCTAAGTTCACCCAGCTGGATGAAGTAGAGGGATTAAGTTTGGATACTTGATCATTGCTATGATTCCCAAATTAGATCTCTATCTGGAAGGTAATTCTCTGATTCTGCTTTCAAAATATATCTTGCATTCTTCTACTTCTCACTCATTTACTGCAAAAACCTTAGTTGTCTTACCAGCACCCCTTGCCTGGGCTAGTGTGGCAGGCTCATCTCTGGAACTCCCTTGATGCTTGTGCTCCTATGGTCAATTCTTCAGGAGCCTCATTGATTCCATTAAAATGGTTAATCATCCCCTTCCTTGCAGCTCCCTCTTGACTTCACACAACACCTGGCTAACCTCCAGGGTCATATGTAAGGTTTGTGACGCCGTGTATAGTCTGGACCTGGCTTCCAATTCAACCTCAGATTTCTCTGTTTCTCTAACATATCAAGAATGTTTGTATTTCAGAATCTTTGCTCAAGACTCTATTATTCTCCAATGCTCATGTGATTTTTATCTTATCTCTGTCCAAATGGGACTTAGTTTAAGGGCTTTTTGTAGTGCATGTCATAGGAGAAGTTGGAATCAATCCATATATTTATCATTAAGGGATTGAATAAGTACCCTACATTACTAGGTGCATCCTATGTAATACTAAGAATCAAGAAGAAATAGTGAACCAGTTGTAGAGTGACATGAAGAAACAGACGACTCTGGGTGAGAGAGGAAGTAGGAAATGCCTATAGCACAATATCATTCATGCGAATCAACAAATTGTAGAGCCAAATGCATGTAGTCTCTGAAGACGTGCACTTGTTAAGAACATGTGTTAAACATGTGAAAGGGAAACACGAGAGTGGCTCAGAAAAGAAGTTGTCTTGAACATGCCTTCAATTTAGTTTTCATATCACAGAAATGTCTTTTAATCTGTTTATCACAGAAAGTGATCTGACATAAATGGTACACTTAACTATATTCATTGTGCAGAAATAGCATTTAAAGAATCAACTATTCCCAAAGAATTTAGTTATGTTGTTAAAATGTTCCAGAAAATATTCTAAAGTGATAGTACTGGCAAATATAGATGTATCACGGTCTCTCCTGGGAAAGTTGTTGAGAAAGTTGTTAGTCATCTAAGAGCTGGGCAGATAACCTTTCTAGACTGACTAGTATTTGGTTGCTGACATTTTCAAATCTTTGATATTTTTATCTTTTCCTATGTAAATCTTTGCTTGATGGTTTATGGTATTTTCAGTTAATGAAGGTACAGCCTCTAATTAAGGGGAAAATATACTTGGCAGGGATCCTATTGTAACCTTAAAAATGTATTGTTTTTTGAAAGAATAGTACAGACTAGACACTAAAAGAAAGAAAAGTCAAGCTATGCTTGCCATTAAACACAGATATTTAAAAGTTTCAAGAGATTACAATTTTTAGAGACATCCTTCTTCAGCTCTTCTTTTCTTATGATTTACATAATTTGTGAGCTTTCTGCAGACTCTTCTAATGAGCCCAGAGCTCTCCCTAATGGCTGCACTGAATGTCACCATTGACCCATGAATAATAAGCCAGTGACTTGATTGACAGCCAGAGTCCAAATCTGCAGGGATATTTCTGCAAATACAAAATTCTAGACGTTTTGCGTAATAATTGCAAATGATCTGTGTCTCTTTCTGAGATGCTGCTTTCTGATTGTGTGTATAAATAGTCACATGATGTGGATGTGATGTTTTTTCTTCCCTCATCATTGACAGGTCACTGTTGACATCCAAGATGAGAACGATGAAGCACCTGTCTGCACACCCAATCTGTATAAGGCAGTTATTTTTGACAATGTGATCGCCGGGACAAACGTCAATGGCTTCAGTCTAAACTGCCATGACAGAGATTCACAAGATTTTGAAATGCGCTTTGAGATAGTTTCTGGTGAATGATCTTATTATTTCCATTAACCACGAGCACTGTCAAATCGACATTAATTATACTGTGTTGAACATGATATTTAACTATGAAAAACGATGGTAAAGGTTAAACTATTTTATATCCGTAGCCATTAAGTTTTCTGAAGGTAGCCTTTTCTTTTTGAAAAAAAAATTATTCACTTATATCTATATGTATTTACTTATTATAGAGAAGAGAAACCACTCTCAGTTTCAGGTTTACTCCCTAAATACCTGGAATGGGTAAGCCAGGCTGTGGCCAAAGCCAGTAGCCAAGAACACAGTTCAGTTCCTCACATGGGCCATAAATGGATACCCAATTATTTGAGCCATCCCTGCCGCCCCCATGGGTGCATGTTAGTCACAGATAGAGCTGGGAATCGAATCCAGGTGCTCCAGTGTGGGATATGGTCAGCTCTTATCTGATAAGCCAAACACTCACCCCAAGGCATCCTGTTCATTTGGATGTTTCTAATTTAATTTATTTTCTAATGAAGTATCAGCTATTTCACAAATGATTGGACAACAAAGGGTTTGGATCTGTGGTGTTTACTTTCCGAGGAACCAAGGCTATTGTCCACGGTTTTGGCCAAGATGGCAAGCACCTTTTTATTTGTCGCTATTATCATTAGGATAGATGCCTGTAGTTGTGTTGTTGTATTTATGCACAGCCATGTGAAATTCAGCAAGCATTTTTCCTCTAAGGAAAACATTTATAGGGACTAACTATGTATCAGGTACTGTCAGGATAGTTGTACACAGAAATAGATAGGATACAAATTTGTGTTCGTGGAACTTATTCAATATACCAGTAACACTAACAATTATAAAATTATAAATGGTGTTAAGTTTTATAAAAGAATATGGGTATCCAAAAACAGCATAATAAGGAAACTTATTTAAAGTATGGAGTTCAGGAGTGCTGTTACCTGCCTGAAAGACTGAGAGCATTGAAATCAGTAAACACAGTTGTAATACGTTATAAAGGCAATTTTAATTTCTGTTTCACTTGCTAACTAGTAAAGATGGGGAATGTAGGCATCTTGTTGACAAGAATGTGTCTAGGGTGAAGGAGAACTTGAACTTAGTAGAGGCTAATAGATATTTGTGGTTTCACCGGCTCATTTCATATTGATCTAGACTCAGTTAAAGGTAGGAATCAAATTGCACTGAGTGGAAGATGAGGGGAGGGGAAGCAATTAGAGAGAATCATTGCAAAGTAGTATGATGGCTTGCTGATGCTTTACAGAGACTCCATTCATGATCTGCACAATTAAAACATTCCTTTTCATAGTCAGCTGAATCTGTTGCTGATTTTTACCTCAGTATTGCTGTAAGCCATGTATAGATACGTGAATCCAGAAAGAATAGAAATTTTTCCTCTTTACGTTTTAATAACAATTGAAGGTAGCTTGAAGAAACCACTCAGCATATTTTAAAATAGCTTGGATTTTTCAAATAACCCATTTACAGGAAATGAGAATCATCATTTTGGATTTGACCCAACTCGAGGCTCAAATACACCAAGATTAATCGTAAAGAATCCTTTTCGCTTTGAATCTGGAGCTGATCGGCGGCGTCAGTACCATCTCGTGGTGCATATCCTTGATGACAACCTGAAATATGGCAAATCAGTCCAGCCCAGGACAGGGACTGCTGTTATAGACATTTATGTGACAAGAGCCAGGACACTGCTTTCTCCAACCAGTTCTGAAGTAAGGAGTTACAGAATTTCATTTGGGCCTGTGTGGGAAAATTCTTTAAGGTAGCACCTGAACCCATGTTCCTTTCTCCCTGTGTACTACCCCTTCCCGACACTGGGCCACATCTCAGCTTGTGCATCAGTAAGTATAAAGTGTATGGGTGAGAAAGAGTTTGAGGTAATTGCAAGAAGTACATAAAAAACTTATAAGCAGCTAAATACGTCAGTGAGCAGAAAGTGCTGCCCACTGGAAAAGGCCACTACTCAATACATTCTATCCAGTAGAAATCTCGACAGATGGGCACTTTGAGAATATCTGCTGGGAGTCATGGTACTCACAGAAATGAGCACCTACTGCCACCAGACCCTGTGCTTCCTGACTTAGATCCATCATTTCTTCTAATCTCAACCCTGTACACTAGAACAGATGCTTCAGTATTTCATAATTAAAAGTAGGTAAGCACAGCCTCTGTATAATTCTTTTTTTAAATTTGAAATTTAAAGTTTTACAGAGAAAGAACAGATAGGGAGGGGAGGTCTTCTACCTACTGGTTCATTCCCCAAATTGCTGCATTGGCCAGATCTGAGCTGGTCTGAAGCTGGGAGCCAGGAACTTCCTTTTCCTGATCTCCCACATTGAGTGTAGAGTTCCAAGGCCTTGAGGTATCCTCCTTTGCTTTCCCAGGTCATAAGCAAAGAATTGGAGTGCAAATAGAGCAGCTGGAACATGGACTGGTGCCGATAGGTGTTGCTGGTGCCACCTAGTGGAGGATTATCTTGCTATGCCAATTTGCTCCACTCCATCATTTAATTTTCTAAGACACCTGAGATTGAACTGTGTTCTATAGATTTTGCAGTTAGTGTGTTTTATTGTCTCATATCCCTTGAAGTGGAATCATTGTTTTGAAAATATGGAAAGTATGTGAACAGATGCTCTTGGAAAATAGGAACTGATGCCCTCTATTTGCTTTGAATTGTTTTCTCTGAACCAGCACAGGAAAGGTCTGACCGTTGTGTACACAGCTATCAACACATACAAATCCAGTGACTGGTACATCCCTTTCACCTTCACTCTGATGGCTCTGTTTTGTGCTGGGCTGGTTTCCTGGGTATGTTTCCTACTTTGGAGATGTGGCAATGTAAAGGAATGCTGCCAGAGCACGGCTAAGGAAGTCTCCAAGCCTCATGCCAAGTAGGTGATATTTCTAAGCTTCTGATATAAAGAGTTAAAATCAGTTGGCTTTAGGGATTTTATTTATTGACTTCTACCTATATTTGCTTTTTTAAAAAAAGGTTTATTTATTTTTATTGGGAAGGCAGATTTACACAGAGAAGAAGAAACAGAGAGAAAGGTCTTTTAACTGCTGGTTCACTCCCCACATGATCACAATGGCTAGAGCTAAACTGATCTGAAGCCAGGAACCTCTTCCAGGTCTTCCATGCGGGTGCAGGTTCTCAAGATTTTGAGCCATCCTCCACTGTTTTCCCAGGCAGTAAGCAGGGAGTTGGATCAGAAGTAGAACAGCTGGGACACAAATCAGAGCATCTGAGTTATGCCAATGCTTGTAGGTGGAGGATCAGCTATTTGAGCCATTGCACTGGCCCTGTACATTTGCTTTTGAGGAACAAAGAGTAAAGTACTTGAGATATAGAAGTCAGTGGCCCATTTTGTGAATGATTCCAAACTTAACTGCATTTCAGGAACAGTTGTGGAGTTTTCTTTAAAGCATAGTTGGGTGGTGCCATCCTTGTGGCATGGTGAGTTATGTTGCTGCTTGTAACACAGGCATCCCAATAAATACTGTGCTGGTTCTAGATGTGACTAAATTTTGAAACAGTTCCTTGGTTTTTTAAAAAAATGATTTCTGTATTTATTTATGCTGATTTTTGTTTATTTGAAGGGCAGAGTTACAACAAGCAGAGATCTTTCATCAGCTCTTTCACCCTCCCTGCCCCCAGCAGTCAAGGTTGGGCAAATCCAGGCACTTGGAAGTAGATCAGTTGGGACTCAAAGTGAGAACCTTGAGCAGTCACCACCTTAGCCGGCTGTTCTACAGTTTAGGCCCCCATATCCCTGCTAGTGTACCTGGGAAGGCTGCAGATCAGGGCCCAAGTGCAGGTTTCTCTGCCACCTACTTGGGAGACCTGGATGGAATTTCTGGCTGCTAGATTCAGCCTGGCCCAGCCCTGGCCAGCGTTTGGAGAATGAACCAGAAGATGGAGGATCTCATCCTGTCTCTCCCTGTTGTTCTGCTTTTCAAATAAATAGATAATGATAATTGGTTATGTATTTTCTTTTAAAAATTAGAAGAAAATATTTAGAATGCTTTCAATATAAAACAAAAGAGAAAGGTGTTTAAGCAGATGTTACAGTACACACACATACATATCAAAACTTCATAGGAGATGCCACAAATAGATACAAATCCATGTCAGTTAAAAATTTTAAGGATGTAAAAATAAATGACATTTAGGGCTAGTGTGGTGGCACCACGAGCATTGGGACCTGCCCACAGCACTGGCATCCCTTATGAGCACTGGTTCTAGTACTGGATGGTCCACTTGTGAGCCAGTTCCTTGTTTATGGCCTAACAAAGCAGCAGAGGGCTTCTCAAATCCTTGGGCCCCTACCTCTACAAGGAGAACCCAGAAGCTCCTGGCTCCTGTCTTTGGATTGGTTCAGTTCAAGCTATTTCAGTCATTTGAGGAGTGAACCAGCAGATGGCAGATCTCTCCATCTCTCTCTTTCTCTGTAAATCTACCTTTCAAATGAAATAAATAAATCCATAAGTATATCTAGAAAGTTAAAAAAAAAGCATGGAAAAATAATATATTAGTGATTTCTACCTTAGGATATCTGAAGCAGATTTTCTATGATAGTATTTATTTTGCAATTGTATTTATTTATTCATTTAAGAGAAAAAGAGAGGGCCCAGCGCAATAGTGTAGCAGTTAAGATCCTCGCCTTGAATGCTGGTTCTAATCCCAAAGGCTCCACTTCCCATCCAGCTTCCCGCTTGTGGCCTGGGAAAGCAGTCAAGGATGACCCAAAGCCTTGGGACCCTGCACCCATGTGGGAGACCCGGGAAGATGTTCCTGGCTCCTGGCTTCTGATTGGCTCAGCATCAGCCATTGCGGCCACTTGGGGAGTGAATCATTGGATGGAAGATCATCTTCTCTGTCTCTCCTCCTCTCTGTACATCTGCCTTTCCAATAAAAAATAATAATAATAAAAAAGAGAAAAAGAAAAAGAGAGAAACAAGCTCCCGTGCTCTTGTATCTACTCATTCATTCTCCAAATGCTTGCAAGGGCTGGGCCTCAGCCAGGCCAATGCCAGGAGCTAGGCTCCTGATCCAGCTGTGCAGGTGGGTGTTGTGAACCTTGCTACTTCAGCGATCACTGTTACCTCCCAAGTGCTACACTGGCAGGAAGCTGGAGTCAGGAACCAGAGTGTGGGATGCAAACATTTTCACTGCTGAACCAAAAACCCACTCTGATGCAGTTACATTTGAACACATTAAATATTTTGAGCAGATGATGTCATATAAGTTACCCCAAACGCAGACACTCCAGTATGACATGTGATAATCAACATTTTTATCTCTTGGCAAATGCCTGCGTTGAGAATATGTTTAAAAAATAAATATGTGAAGAAACAAGAAAGCAGCTTCCCGTAATATTTTGAGGCAAGCTATTTCATGGACAGGTGTTCAACAAACTTGCAAACAAGCCAAGGGCCAGTAATCAATGCCAGTGTCCGTTTCACATATTTGGCTGTGTTAGAATCTATCTGAACCTGGCAAGAGAGGCCAAAGCAATTGAAAGCACCTGCAGCAGCTCCCCTCACTTTTCTCTGCTTGTCTCCCAGCTTCCCCCAGGTACAGGAAGGAAAAAAAAAAATGTAGAAGTGGTGATCTTGCCACTTATCACGCTAATCAGCAAAAATAAATATAATTTAAAAAAATCACATGGAGAACAAACGAAACCCAAAGCAAAATCATTGCTATATGTATATATTTATATATATATAAATAAGCAGTGCATGGCTGGCATTGTGGTACAGTGGGTTAAGCTGCTGCTGGTGACACTGAAATCCCACACGAGAGCCAGTTTGAGTCTTGGCTGCTCCAATTCAGTTCAGGCTCCCAGCTTCATTCTGGCCTAGGCCACAGCAGTTATAACCATTTAAAGAGAGAAACCATGGATGGGAGAGCTCGCTCTCTCTTCCTCTCTGTCATTCTAGCTCCACCTTTAAAATAGCTAAGGATGATGGAACAAAAACGCACAAAATGAGGGGAAAATGAGATTACTGATTTCACGAAGACACAAAACTATGTATCATACAACCTGAAATTGTAAGCTCTAAGTGTGAATTTGAAATAAATTCCACCAGCAATGAAAAAAAATCATTTTTTCAGGTTGAAGAATATCATGACTTCAAAAATGGATTTAGTGATGGCTTTCTTTCTTTTTTTTTTTTTATTGCACTCAAGTATTCATAGTGAAATGAAAGCAATAGTGCTAGTTAACGAAGACTTTTATTTTTCCCATTCAACCATTCTTTATTTTCTGGGGTAGAGAAGCTGGAATAATAGTCATTAATCCACTATTGAATGAAATTGTTTTTCCCCTATGTTATTGTAATGAAGCTGATATCTTGCCAATCTTTTTTTCTTGCAGAGAGATGAACTATATTGCAGGTAAGACACAGATTGTTAATTGTCACAAAGTCAAGTTTGATTTGCATAATCTTTAAATTGCTGCTCACCAGATGTCTATAGTCTTATGTATTTCTCTTGGATAGGAGATGCAAGCCAAAAGGAAAAGACTGTTAAAATAAGCAGAAATAAAAAATTGGAAGAATTAACAGTAAGTACATTTTTGTGACTATTCAATATTAAAAAGGAGAGAACTGCATTTTCCCTGTAACTGTTACCCAACAGAAAGTTCTTTCATAAAAACACATTCAGAGGACACCCACTTTTGAATTTGTTTGTGTTACAAAGTTCGAATATCACATCCAGTTTTAAAATTTGGCTAGGTCAAAATGTGTGTCAAGTCTTAAATGTGTATTCAGAAAAAAACTTCAAATGAATGGAAATCCATTTATAATATCTCACATTACTTAAAATACAAATTATATTTGACAACAGAGTATACATGAGATAGGCTTGAATATATTTTCAGTTCTGGCGATTCTTTTTTTTTTTTTTAAAGATTTATTTTTATTATTTTTTTATTGCAAAGGCGGATATACAGAGAGGAGAGACAGAGAGGAAGATCTTCCATCCGATGATTCACTCCCCAAGTGAGCGCAACAGCCCATGCTATGCTGGTCCGAAGCCAGGAGCCTCTTCTGGGTCTCCCACGTGGGAGCAGGATCTCAAAGCTTTGGGCCGTCCTCGACTGCTTTCCGGGCCACAGGCAGGGAGCTGGAAGGGAATTGGGGCTGACAGGATTAGAACCGCCACCCCAGTGGGATCCCGGGTGTGCAAGGCGAGAACCTCAACCACTGCGCCACCGCGCCGGGCCCAGTTCTGGCAATTCTTAACAGCTGGTGTTTCTAAACTGTGGAATCTGTAGACCACCTTGAAATGGCTGAAATATGTTCATTGGCCAAGTCACACAGCTGTGTAAGAGTAACACTGGCTCCAAGAAAAAAGAAAATGTGAGGTGGAAGCAGGCAGAATGATTTTGGTCTTCATCTCTTGCTTCTTTTGCTTTCCTAACTAGCTTGAATTCCTCTCTGGGTCATGACTCTTCATGACATTGCTTCATGGCTAGCTTTTGACCCTTCCTTCCCCTACCTGTGTCTTCAGGAAAATTATGCCAGTTAATCTTCCATATTAATTTGTAGGGTCTTGTCTTAACACATACCATGGCTGGGGTGGCTGACATCATGGACATTTATATCTCACAGTTCTAGAATTCCAAGCTCAAGATTTTACCAGAGTTGGTTTCTTTAAAGACTTCTCTCTGGCTTGCTGATAACTTCCCTTAGTGTGTCCCTTCGTGTTGCCTGGGTCTTCAGTGTCTTCATCTCTTCTATGCCCATCATTGTACTGGGCCCTCCTATACGACTTTGCCTTACAGCTTTAAAGGCTCTAGCTCTAAATGCAGTGACCTTCTGAGGTACTGAGTATTAGAATTTCATTATGCAAACAGGAGGGGGGCAATCCAGCTTTTAATATTTCCTATTTAAAATATGGGATGTCACATCAAGAAAAGGATTCCAGCACAAAGAGATGAGAAATGTTTGACTAACGAAGTCATTGCCCTTTGTTCTTTTACATGTACCAAAGTGTGTATGTATATATATATATATATTCACAATTATGTGTCAAAAACTTTCTAAAAAATTATTCCACCGATGAGCTGCCTTTGTGGCACAGTGCATTAAGCCACTGCCTGCTACACCAGGATCCCATGTCATTGTGCTGATTTGAGTGCGAGCTGTTCTGCTTCAGATCCAGTTTCCTGCTAAAGCTCCTGGAGAGACAGCAGTAAATGCCCCAAGAACTTGAGCCTCTGCCATCCATGTGAGAGTCTCAGATGGGGTTCCTGGCTGCTGGCTTCAGGAGTCAACTAGAGGATGAGAACTTTCTGCCTCTGTTTATCCTTCTCTCTCTGAACTCTGCCTTTCAAATAATGAGAAAATCTTAAAAAAAAAAAAAAAGCCAGTTAAGCCTCACTTAGGATGTCCTAACCCACATGCCAGTGCCTGGATTCAACTGCTGGCTCCAGTTCTGACTCCAGCTTCCCACTGATGCAGATTGTGGGAGACAGCAGGTGTTGGCTGAAGTGTTTGGGTTTCTGTCAGTCATCTGGGCGACCTGAACCGAGTTTCTGGAGCCCAGATTCAGCCACACTACCTGCTGCAGGTATTTAGAGGTTGACGCAATATAGGACTTCTCTCTCCGCCTTTTTTCCCTCTGTGTACCTATCTCATTTGCGCAGTCTGGACTCTCAAGTGAATAAACAAAGCAGACTAAAACAAAAAGAACCTGATTCTTGGAGAGCGAAGACAGCTGGTGATGTAGGGTATGAGGTTGCAAAGAGGTACTGATGGCATGAAGGGTTTTACTCTCTGGCTGCTAGCCATGTATAGATGAAAAAGAGGAGTCACTTGTAAGAAATCATCTAGGCAAAGTATTCAACACATGTTAACATCAGGTTTATCAAGATGGCTTTATTGCTGATTGCTTTTTTTCTTTTGAAAAGGAAACTATTGTATTTGAGACTGTGTTTGATGGAGAAGCCGTTGATCCAGGTATGTTGCTGGAAAACCTTTCGACTTACACCCACTCTGCCTTTTTGGATACTAAACTGTGTGAAACACTTAGGATGGTTTACCAATTGAGATTCTGTCCTGAAGCAAACCTTTTTAGGACCAGGCAGAGTAGGTAACTGATAGGCCAGAAGTAAATGCAACAGGAAGTTCAAGCATCGGTGTCAGCTGATGCTGGGGGTGCCTGGCCACATTCAGCTCCATCCCATTACTGCCACATGGGAATAAGGGCTGGTTCTGGCGACATTCTGGTGCTTCAAAATAAGGTGGGAATCCAAATTGTTCCATGAACAGTGCTCATTTTTAAATAGCTGGTAACTAGTTTAATTGAACCCTATTTTGTGTGTCAAATAAAACACCTCTCTTGGTTTTACGTTGTTGTATAACAAACTTCCCCAGGACTTAGAGCTTAGAATAACAAGCATTCACTTTTATTTTCACAAGGTCCTGGGTCAGGAATTGGAGAGATTGGCTCATGGGCAATTCCTATGCTTTATGGGCTATCATAAATGTTACTACAATGATATTCAGCTGCTTGCTGGTTTTGTGCTGTGGCTCCAAAGTGGTTGCATGCAGAAGTCTGACAGCTTGGCAGGGACAGTTGCAAGTTGGGGGTCAGCTGGGTTCCACATCCCTCTTCATGTAATGTTAGGGCCTCTTTTTGTAACCTTTCTAACAAGATTCATCACGTGTAGCAGTTTATATCTCTCAGGGCAAGTTGCAAAGCAAACAAGGCAAAACAAGGCAGTGCTTTGAGGCCTGGGATTGGTAACTGACACAGTATCCCCTCTGTGCCACGAAAGCTGTCAGAGTCATCTTTTGTTCAATGAGAAATGCCTGTACCTTACTTTTGTTTTAAAAAAAGATTTATGTATTGCCTAGTGGCTGGAGTCCCCCACCTTGCATTACCTTGTATTACCTTTTAAGGGTTAATGCCAAAGAGGTTGTGTTCATCTTCAGCCAGCCATGGCATCTTCAGGCTGTGGTTCATAGATTTGCAATACCTGATCTAAGGATACATAAGTGTACTTCATGAAGCTCATGGACAATGCACATTTTAAAAATATTTACAGATTTGAATATTTTTGGGTCTAAGCTTATTCAAAGCTTTTTTCCCCCCCCTCAAAGCTTATTTATCTGAACGGGAAAGGGAGAAAGAAAGGGGAGATCCCATTAGTTGTTTCACATGTCACATGTCTGCAGTGGCTAGGGCTCTAACTAGGAGTCAAGGACACAATCCAGTTTTCCTGAGGAACCAATGACTTGGGCAATTACCCCTGCCTTTCAGGATATGCAGGAGCCAGAGCAAGGGTTTGAATCCAGGTACTATGATATGGAATGCTGAACTGAATACCTGCTCAAATTTATCTCTGAATTCCATTTTTCACTGAGCTTTTGGAAGTGCTCTCATATCAGTGAACCCTGAAATTACAGTGCTGATTATACTTCCATTTTGCAAAATATCCCGTAGGCTTTTTGCTTTTTCTATACACTTTCCCCCTAAAGAAGAGCAGAAGATGACACATGTGCTGTTGAAGCTCTGGGTATAGAGTTACAAGACCGGGGTTGAGTGCTGACCTAACCATTAACCCTCTGTGTGAACTTGGACAAAGTTCATGTGTGAGTTTAAGTTTCTCAAGTCTCCTTTATCCCAGCTGAAAAGTGGGCATTAGCCTGTGGGTTTAATCTGCTTCATGGGAGGTGATTGTAAAGTTTAAGCAAAAATGTAATAAATGTAAAAGTCATCTTCCAAAATGTCACTCAGAGCTCATGGGCACCATAACAGCTTATAATACTTCACCACAAATCATCTCCTGACAGCCTCGGGTGTCTTGGCATAAAATTATTGAAGCTTTATTCCTGGCTGCCAGGCTCTTCCTGAAGCCACCTTTTTCCAAAATACTTAATTGTGTTAAAAAAAAAAAAGCCTGCTACTTAGATCCTAATCTGATTGATAAGTTTCCTGTGAGTCCTAGTGTTCCAAGAATTTACGAAAAGAAGAGGCATTGTGTAAGTAAGTGATGAGTACCTATGCCACATATTCCATTTTTTTTCATTGTGAGGATTGTATTACATTTCTTTATTATTATGACCATTATTGTCTTTATTTTATATACATTCCAACAGAGGCTCAGAGAGGACTATGGGGTTTTTCTCATGTAGCTGCTTTTCTCTCAAGGAAAGTAAAACATTGGTGTAACTCTTAGGGACCGAGACTTCAGGTCTCATAGGTCTGTGGGCAAACCACAGGATACCTGCTAAGGACAGAAGGTCTTCTCCCAGGTCTCCTGATGGAGCATCAGAGCAGAAGCTTGCCTTTTTCCTGGAGGTCATTCTCCTGGTTCTTTTTCTACTTTACTATTATTATTCGATATAATAAAAATCACTGTATGCCATCTTTTGTTTCCTTACAAAATTATAAAAAGAATTATAAAAGATGTGTATTTAATTAAAAATTAGTTCATTTAAGGTCCCAGGCATATTGTTAAGAACTTTATAATCATTAATCTATCTTGTGATTGTGTTAAATACAATGAGATAAAATGGTGTTTTAAAATCAATGATCATTTAAGTTGCATTTACAGTTCTGTGGCATTACGTGCAATAAATAGTTATTCAAATATTACCACTGTTCACCTTCAGAACGTTTGCATCTGTTCCAACTAAAACTCAGTACTAATTAAGCCTTGACTCCCCCATTCCTCTCTTCCCTGACTGCTTACAACTACTATTCTATTTTCTGTCTATAAATCTGAGTACTCTAGGTACTTTCTATAAATAAAATCATAAATACTTTTTATGTGATTTCTTTTACATACATTATGTTTTCAAGGTTTATCCATGTTACAGCAAGTGTCAGAGTTTCCTTGCTTTCCTTTTTGTTTTAAGATTTATTTTTTATTACAAAGTCAGATGTACAGAGAGGAGGAGAGACAGAGAGGAAGATCTTCCGTCCGATGATTCACTCCCCAAGTGAGTGCAACGGCTGGTACTGTGCTGATCCGAAACCAGGAGCCAGGAACATGGATGCAGGGTCCCAAGGCATTGGGCCGTCCTCGACTGCTTTCCCAGGCCACAAGCAGAGAGCTGGATGGGAAGTGGAGCTGCTGGGATTTGAACTGGGGCCCATATGGAATCCCGGTGCGTTCAAGGCAAGGACTTAGCCACTAGGCCACTCCGCCAAGCCCCCAAGAGTTACCCTGCTTTCTAAGGCTAATAAAATTTCACTATGTGTATAGGTAATATTTTGTTTATCCATTTATTCGTAAATGTACAATTGCTTTGCTTTCATCTTTTGGCTCCTTTGAATAATATTTAACTATGTATGTGAAGACATTATGAGATATTTTAAAGAAAATTTGTAGTGCAAAATCATTGCAAATATTGAATTCTTATGATAAAAATACTTTTACAAACTTTTTTTATTCTCACAATTTAAGGTGGTGATTATTATCATCTTCATTTTATAAATTGAAAAACTGATAGGACAACTTAGCTCTCCGAAAGTCATAGTAAGAGGGAAGTGTCAGGATCAGGAGCTGGCGGTGTGTCATAGCAGGTAAATGCATTGCCTATTATGCCGGCATCTCCAGGAGGCATCTGTTTCTGTCCTGCTGTTCCTCTTCTGATTCAGCTCTCTACTAATGGCCTGGGCAAAGCAACAGAAGATGACCCAAGTGTTTGGGTCCTTGCAACCCACATGGAAGACCCAGATGATGCTCTTAGCCCTTTGCTCCGGGTTAGCCCAGACCTAGCCATTGTGAGCCATCTGCAGAATGAACCAGAGCATGGAAGATGTCTCTCTCTAATGGTGAGCATTAGAAGGCAATCACTTTGACACAAGGACCCTTGTACTTAATACTATGTTTCTAGCTAATAATTGCATCCATAGAGACTGGGATCAAGGTCCTTATGTTTAAAACAAAAATGTGTATGATTGCATAAATGCAAGAACCCATTGCAGTCACTTTCTGTTGATGCAGTGGCTGATTCTACTCTTCAGTATGAGAGGAGATGTCGACACTGTGTTTGCACCGATTCATCTGGATTGATTTGAACCTGGATGTTTCATGTGTGATACAGGAATCAGTTCTCAAGTTCTAAAATAAACTACATAGTACATTGCCCAAACTAGGAAATTGATATTGGTACAATTAACTGTATCATTGAAATGGAACTAACTGGAACATAGAATTTCTCAGATTTCATGTTTTTATGCACTCTAATTTTTAAAGTATTGCTGTGTAGTTCCATTATGCTTAATCTATATAGATTTACATAACCACTACCACAGCCAAGGTACAGAATCCTTCGTTCCCACGAAAGATTTCCCTAGAAGGGATAAATTTTAATGTACTTGAAATCACTTGCTGTGTCTAGTTTTCTGTTGGTTTCTCCCTCAGTAAGATTGTAAGATTTGAGAAGATAAACTTGTCACCATGCTGGCTTTAGACCGAATACTCAGTAAACACTTGGTGGCTGAATAAATACTTTGCAAGTTCATTATAAATTCTCTTTCTCTGTGTTTCATATTTTCCTTCCCACAGTGTCTGGTAATGTGTATGAATTTAACAGCAGAACAGGTGCAAGAAAGTGGAAGAAGCCACTGAGGCACCAGCAGGAGTCTGTGGCAAACATCTACCTGCTTCCAGATGCCTAAGACGCTTCCAGATGCTTCCAGATGCTTAAGGAGTCTGTATCCTTAAAAATGCCCATACAATGATAGGATTTTCCCATGTCCCCGAATGATGGCTGTTTTGTGTATGTGTGACTGCCACAGGCACTTTTACTTGGCTACCTAAGATTAGATTGCCATTATGAGGTCAACTGTGTTGTGACTGTTCGTAACTTTTGTTCTGTGACCTCTCTGTTTAGGGCTGTGGGGGAAAGACAACAGTAGTCAGCTCTGAGTGCCTGAATGTGTTTTGCTGAAAATTAGAGAATAAATCAACATGGTTTTATTGTGTTACTTTGCCCCCAAAATATCCAAATCTTCATACCAAAGACTTTGTTCTGCTTGCTGCGATGGCCCTAGCACAGGCTTGACCCAGTGAGGACTTCGTTGTTTTGGAGAATAAACGAATTTGAATCTATGACTTTAGACCTCTTGTCTTTAATTGATTGTTCATTACCCTATGACCCATGAAATAGAAATAGAAGTTATCATTAGAAACAAATATTTTGGCTACTGATAGTCATAAAAAATGTAGGGTTTTTCAAAAGTGCAATTGACCTTATTTTTCATTTTCTTTTTATAGCTGTGTGGAGAATGGCCACTTGAAAACTTTTTACTTATTAATGACTTGACAAAGAGATGTCAGAATTAAGTTGTTTGAGAGGTGTGCACTGAGACAGATTTTAAAATACATATGGGTTCTCTGATGACCTCCTTGGTTATCTGATGGTACATGACAGTGGGCGCCTAGAAGTGCTGCTTCTAGGAGAGGACAGATCCACATGTGATCCAGTACGCATCTCAGCTAGGAATCCTCCTCCCTCGTTCCTCCCTTTCCATGTTTTTTTTTTTTGTTGTTTAAAAAATTCATTTTATTTTTATTGGAAAGTCAGATATACAGAGAGGAGGAGAGACAGAGAGGAAGATCTTCCATTCGATGATTCATTCCCCAGGTGACCACAATGGCTAGTGCTGTGCCAATCTGAATCCAGGAGCCAGGAATTTCTTCCATGTCTCCCAAGCAGGGGCAGAGTCCCAAGGTGTTGGGCTGTCTTCAATTGCTTTTCCAGGCCACAAGCAGAGAGCTGGATGGGAAGTGGATCTGCCAGGATTAGAACCAGCGCCCATTTAAGATCCCAGCACGTTCAAGACGAGGACTTTAGCTGCTAGGCTATCATGCTGGGCCCTTGGTGAGTAGATTTTTATGCCCTTAGCACATGAACTTGCATGGTTTCTTTTCATGCCAGGGACACATGGTTTTCCAGGCTCATTTCAAAATATGTGTTTCCCTTAAATTGTCAGTCCTCAGGTGGTATTGTGGTATGTGTATTGTAGGATGGGCATAAGTGGATTTAAAGTGTGGGGTTTTGACTAGGCAACTATTGCATGGAAAGTCCAGTTTGTCTTCTGGGAAATGCAAATGTGGTAAGGTCTGGCCCATTTCTGTCTTGCAGTTTTGCCATGAGAAACAACTGAGAGCTTACAGTTGGCAGTTCTTTCTCAACTGTGAGTGCCATGTAAGTAAAAGATAGGGTTAGTTTCATTAACTCAAAGTTGGTCACTGTGAGAGAAGGGATTTGGGATGTGGGTATACAGGAGTTATTGTTTTGTGGTTCTAGGCCAATCTAACTTGGAATTGGTTAATAATTAGCCTTACATTGACTGTGAAAGTAGTATATTGCATTTTTCCAGATGGCATGCTAATTCTTCACCAGGGAGAGACCAAATTGTCTGGGAAATGCTGTCTTCTCCCCAGCGAGGCTCTCTCTGGATCAGTTATGATTTGATGGATATCCATGTGTGTGTCTCCATCTGCCACCACCTGGGCTTTTAAGGGGGAAAGAAAAAAGGCACTTGCAAACTTTCTTTTCAAAGTCTGGATTGGTTCGATTTGTGTTCGATCTGCCTGTGCCAAAAGTAAAGAAAACACAATCGGTAAGTTGGTATTTGTTTTCAAAACAAAAATCTTTGTTTCAACTTGTTTAGTCATTTTGGATCTTAGCTTCAGACATGTCAAGAGAAGATGTCAGGACTGTGATTGTGGAGAGTAGAGGGGGTGCCAGGAAGGCTCTTGAGGGAGCAACCCTCAGGACAGGACTTGAATTCACCATCTCTTTGTGTCATAATTAACTTGCCTCTAAAAACACTAGCTGCTCTTTTCTATTGCTCTGACTTAATGGTGACTGTAGAGTTTCCCGAGGCTATCTAGAGATCCCCATACATTTTGTGTCTTAACAACAACATAGATCTCCTTCAGAGCCTGAAAGGGAGGTGTTCACAGTACTCCTCTCAAGGCCCTGGGATCTGCTGCTTACTTCTCCCAGTCGCTGGTCACTGCTGCTGCACCACTGGGCTTGGGGCTGCACCTGTCAGTTCTGCATCTCCATGGGCTCTCATATTCTCTTTTGTGTGTCAAACTGCCTTCTGCATCACTCTGGAAATGACATCCTGGATAATTCCACGTCAAGATCCTCAACTTCATAGCACCTTTAGGTTCTTTGTTTCAAGTCATGTTGGCAGGTTGTGGGGATTAGGTCATGAATGTATGTTTTTTAGGGTCCTATTCAATCCAATATTGTAATTTACAAAGACCTTGACATGTGTGTTTGGTAGATCAGCACAGTAACTTGGCACAAAATAGTATTAAGCGCTTACCCAGTGCCAGTTTTTCAAGGCTTTTAATCAAGAAACATAAATGTCTTTGGCTTGGCAGTTTGACTAATTGGAATGTCTTTGTAGACGTTGCTATAAAAGACCGACACGATTTAATTACATGGTTATTCTAGGTAACATTTGAATAAAATTTATTAATGGGATTAGTTGGAATTAGTTTTTATGTGGCTGTTAAAAGGAATTAGGTATGTATATTATGAAAGCTATATATGAATGATAAAATTGAGTAGGCTATACAATTTTTATGAATATGAACAAATAAAAATAAACTACATAAATGTCTGTATTGGTATTACCATGTGGTTATGGGGTTGTGAGAAATCTTAAGAACTGTTCGTACTGATACCTTGTTGGAGAACATTAGGGGAGGTGACAGCAGAGGATAACGGCGATATATATATATTTGCTTTTATGATGCATTGGATATTCTAACCTTGTGCCCACATTTCTTTTGTTAGAACTTTCTTTATTGAGAGACTGGTTGAAAGAGTGAGGTTTCATCTGCTGAGTAACTCCCCTACTTGGTTCGGCTCTGGTGTTCCTGGTAGGAGCCCAGGGACTTGAGCCGTTCCCGCTGTGGACCAGGGTCTTCAGACGTCTCAACTAACAGGCAAAGTCCCCTTACCAGCTTTTACTCTTTAGTGAACTAAGTCAGGATTACCTGGTGGTGATAATTTAGGGCTTTCTCCTTCTTAACACTTTGTTCCTTAAGTAACAGCATATTATAAGAAATCACTTTTGCTACCTTCCCAGCTGCATTAACAAAGAGCTAGAGTGGAAGTGCTGAGCTCAGGACTTTAACAGGTGTTCACATGGCATTTCGGCAGTGTCAGTGGTGGCTTAACCCACTGACATATGATGCCAGTCCTGTCTATCGAGGTTTAAAATTTTAAAATCCTATTTTTAGGAAGATGTGTGTATGCACATGTGTGTGAGGAAGCTGTGCACAGGTGCATATTTCACAAGGATCTAAGTCATTTGCTTAAAGTGGTTGTCTGCCTCCCCTGACAGCTCTGTCTCAGTAGAGTCTGCTCTCAATATTTGGTTTTTTATGGTTACTGGTTTCCCTACACTCTCAGTCTCTTGGGTTTCTTGTCATTTTTTTTTTTTCTCTCCCGTAAGGCTCACATGAGCTGTTATGGCCTTTCCAAAGGATAGGAGCCTGCCATTTCTGCCTTGTGACTTGATGGAGTGAGGAAGGCCATTAGATCTGTCAAGAAGACAGAGCTTCCTTTGGTTTGCTGGTTCTGGGGACAGAGGTCCCTTATCTCAGATGCTGTCAGTGCACCCATGGTTTTTGGGAATCAGGGAGACATTGATGAATGTCCTCATCTCTCTAGGGAGGAGGTAAGGTCCAGTGAGTGTAACATCCCAGAATGAAATCCTTTTCTTCATTTTGATGTGTTGAGAGTCTTCTAAGTTGTTCCTAATATTTTCTTCTGGTTCAGAAGGGAGAACAAAATCTTGGCTGTTTTTCAGTGACACTGGTCAGTTCTTACTTATATACCATCTAAAGGTGCCCCCAGCTTAACCAAGCACAGGACCAAAGCCCATGTGCAGACACAGGCATCTAGTCCAGATGAGCTGAGCTGCCCAACTAGGGTCAACTTAGATCAGCCCACCTTTATGTGGCCCATAGATATTTAATATATAATCATAAATTGCTGCTATTATCCAGGGCCTCTGGTTCATTCTGCAGCAATAACTGAAACCAGGAGGAAAAGTGAGCTGCAATCTTCCTACATTTTTCTCTGAATATAAAAATAAAGACATGGATATGTTTTTAAGATAATTGGAAAGAAAGAAAACAAAATAAAATTTTTCTTTTTTCTTTTTCCATTAAGAAACCTCGGTGGACTGAATAGTCTCACTAGCTGAAAACAAAAGGATTGAGAACTAAGACACATGCACAAGAGCTACCATTCAGTATGGGTGCCTAGCATTGAATGCAGCTCCAAAATTATCCCCTTCCTCATAATAAACTACTTACTTTTGTTTGGAAAAAGCAAAATGGTGCCTTTTGGCTGGAAATTTCCTAGGAATGTAATTAACGGCACATCATTTTGTTAGCTCATCACCTAAGCTCTCTGTGGATGACTTTAAATAGGAAAGATTGGCAGTTTTATTATGCTCTTAATATATTGTAAGCATTGTTACTGCTACAAATAGTTGTTGCATCAGCCTAGACACTTCATCTGACTTGAAACAAATTCAGTTTGTATTTACTATAGTGGACAGTAATATCAGGCTTACACAGATACCTATTTGATAATAGGGACAGTTTGAGGACAAAGACATTCAACAGACCTCTT